CCTACTGTGTGCCACATTCAGAGCATTAATATAGCATCAAACGACTTGATATATAAAGATACAGTGGAGTCGTGGCATCCTGAGCAGAGAATGAAGTCACACAACATCTTTGTGTTGAACTCCGAGCTTCTCTGTTTTTTGTTGTGGTAGACTGTCTAACCATGCATACATGTTAGCGCATGTGAGTCCTTGTGTTCTACACTGCACTCATACGGCGTTTAGTGCTGATAACACTATCCTGACCCACGGTGGTGGAATGGTGTCACTGAGGAAGCAAAAAGCCCCTCAGCTCAGACTCTGAATCACAGATATGCTGTGAATGTCTGATTAGGTTTCTTGTCATGTGGCTCCATGTTTTATTTAGCAGCATACCTCTACACTAGATCTAAAAAGATTTTGGTAAAATGTTGTGGTGCGGTCGAGGCCAGGAAAGAAGTTATTTTTGGAGTAGACACTGTCACTTTTTTTTTCTTTTTTATCCTAACTTCTGATCTCTCATGTTGCTCTGTCTGGCCTCCTCTGACGTTATTCTGAGTCAGGCTTAGACTACTTCAACTCCAGTGATTGTTGAGTCTGCTTAACACCTGTGTATAGGATGACAAACATTTAAACGGAGCAACCAGTGTCACAGATCCTCTGGGAGAAGCTGGGAGCCGTATAAATGAATCTGCTGGATGATTTATGTGTTGTGCTCTCGGGTTGGCACACAATAAATAAATTACCCAGTATCAGAACACTGGTTTGGAGTTTTGACAGCTTTGGATTTGGATTTCTGTCGCTGGGTTGTAGGTATACTGCTCAGAACAAAAACCTTGGGGATTTCATAAAAATTAATAAAATATTTTGCATTAAGATTTTTGCCACGTTTTCACCATTCATCCCACAAACTTTGACAATTTTTCATAATATCTGACATATAAACATATTTGGCTGAAAACTAAATACATAATTAAAGTAATCATGGGATCCTTAGTTACAAACTACCACTTAACTTGAGGGGACTCCAAAATTAAGTACAGTAATTCACAAAAAAGAAAGTGTTAACATTTGGTGCAGTTTAGCATCTGAATTATCCTGAAAGCCTGTGTTAACCAGGAAAGTGCACTCAGTGAAGTGCAGATCTCTGCCAAAACAAGCAGATCAAGTTCTCCTGCTCAGAGATACTGTGTGTCAAACAGGTAATTAGACATAATTATGATAAGTGTATAATTAAACGAAAAAGAGTGCCACAAATCTTTGATTCGTGTCATTCATAACTAGAATTTAACAGTATTAATTTTGTCTGTAAACTGCACAACAAAGTAGGAAATAACAACAATAAAGAAAGTTAACAAAGCCAAAAAAAAAAATCATCTAACTACTAACTTACTTATGACAGAAGCACACATATCAAGGAAAAATGAGTGAGAACATTTTAGGCAAGAAATGGGCGATGCAGTAACAGAGTTCTGAGTCATATTTGAACAGCGTTGCCAGTTCAGACAGTTTAATCTGAGTTTCACATTGCATTTGACGGGCCACATTTGCAAAAAGTTTAGGTTGAGTCTTGATTATCCAAATTCAGATACGTCAGTCAACTTGCTGTGCTATATGCATCACGCAACGTGCGACTGGATTCTCGACCCTCCATAGAAAATGAAGACTTCATATAAGGGCGGCACAGTAATGCAGTGGTTGGCATTGTCACCACACAGCAAGAGGGTTGCTGGTTTGATCCCACAGTGGAGGATCCCCTCTGTGCGGAGTTTGCATGTTCTCCCTGTGTCAGCATGGGTTTTCTCTGGGTACTACAGCTTCCTCCCACTGTCCAAAGACATGCAGGTTAATAGGTGGCTCTAAATATCCCATAGGTGTGAATGTGAGTGTGAATGGTTGTCTGTCTCTATGTGTCAGCCCTGTGATAGTCTGGTGACCTGTCCAGGGTGTACCCCGCCTGTCGCCCAATGTCAGCTGGGATAGGCTCCAGCCCCCCTGCGACCCCTAACATGATAAGCGGTTACGGAAAATGAATGAATGAACTTCATATACAGTACAGGCCAAAAGTTTGGACACACCTTCTCATTCAATGCGTTTTCTTTATTTTCATGACTATTTACATTGTAGATTCTCACTGAAGGCATCAAAACTATGAATGAACACATGTGGAGTTATGTACTTAACAAAAAAAGGTGAAATAACTGAAAACATGTTTTATATTCTAGTTTCTTCAAAATAGCCACCCTTTGCTCTGATTACTGCTTTGCACACTCTTGGCATTCTCTCCATGAGCTTCAAGAGGTAGTCACCTGAAATGGTTTCCACTTCACAGGTGTGCCTTATCAGGGTTAATTAGTGGAATTTCTTGCTTTATCAATGGGGTTGGGACCATCAGTTGTGTTGTGCAGTCAGGTTAATACACAGCCGACAGCCCTATTGGACAACTGTTAAAATTCATATTATGGCAAGAACCAATCAGCTAACTAAAGAAAAACGAGTGGCCATCATTACTTTAAGAAATGAAGGTCAGTCAGTCCGGAAAATTGCAAAAACTTTAAATGTGTCCCCAAGTGGAGTCGCAAAAACCATCAAGCGCTACAACGAAACTGGCACACATGAGGACCGACCCAGGAAAGGAAGACCAAGAGTCACCTCTGCTTCTGAGGATAAGTTCATCCGAGTCACCAGCCTCAGAAATCGCAAGTTAACAGCAGCTCAGATCAGAGACCAGATGAATGCCACACAGAGTTCTAGCAGCAGACCCATCTCTAGAACAACTGTTAAGAGGAGACTGCGCTAATCAGGCCTTCATGGTCAAATAGCTGCTAGGAAACCACTGCTAAGGAGAGGCAACAAGCAGAAGAGATTTGTTTGGGCCAAGAAACACAAGGAATGGACATTAGACCAGTGGAAATCTGTGCTTTGGTCTGATGAGTCCAAATTTGAGATCTTTGGTTCCAACTGCCGTGTCTTTGTGAGACGCAGAAAAGGTGAACGGATGGATTCCACATGCCTGGTTCCCACTGTGAAGCATGGAGGAGGAGGTGTGATGGTGTGGGGGTGTTTTGCTGGTTACACTGTTGGGGATTTATTCAAAATTGAAGGCACACTGAACCAGCATGGCTACCACAGCATCCTGCAGCGACATGCCATCCCATCCGGTTTGCGTTTAGTTCGACCATCATTTATTTTTCAACAGGACAATGACCCCAAACACACCTCCAGGCTGTGTAAGGGCTATTTGTCCAAGAAGGAGAGTGATGGAGTGCTGCGGCAGATGACCTGGCCTCCACAGTCACCGGACCTGAACCCAATCGAGATGGTTTGGGGTGGGCTGGACCGCAGAGTGAAGGCAAAGGGGCCAACAAGTGCTAAACACCTCTGGGAACTCCTTCAAGACTGTTGGAAAACCATTTCAGGTGACTACCTCTTGAAGCTCATGGAGAGAATGCCAAGAGTGTGCAAAGCAGTAATCAGAGCAAAGGGTGGCTATTTTGAAGAAACTAGAATATAAAACATGTTTTCAGTTATTTCACCTTTTTTTGTTAAGTACATAACTCCACATGTGTTCATTCATAGTTTTGATGCCTTCAGTGAGAATCTACAATGTAAATAGTCATGAAAATAAAGAAAAGCATTGAATGAGAAGGTGTGTCCAAACTTTTGGCCTGTACTGTAAGTCAATGGATCCAGTGCATTTCAACCTGGTGAGGTATGACACCATGTAATGGACGAAAAGATGGCAGCCAGAATGAAAAATTAGCTCCCTTACAGTCACTATGGCAGCGAAGATAACAAAAATGGGGATTTATTTATCTTTAAATTGTGTCTGATTTTTGTAGATCATAACAAACTGGGTATGGAATTAATCTACAGATGCTCCACTTCAAAACGAGACCAAACTTTTCTACGCATGTCGGTTTTAAAGCCACACCAATGGCCAAAGTGTGACCTGCAATGGAGGGTAAAGCTCATTGTTTTTGCCTGAGCCGCTTTCCGGAAAACTTACAGCCACTACCAGCTGGTTAAAAGGAGTGAGGAGTCAGTGATGAGGGTATAAAACACTCACTCACACAATCAGGCAGGTGTTTTGTAACAATTGTTAGTCACACAGAGATCCTTGAGCATACAGTCATAAATAGGCACACAAAACATTAGGCTGATTGGTCTAGTAATTCGTAAGATCACCTGTGGACAGGCAGATACAAACACTCATACGACACAGTCTATGAGGCACAGGGCCATACACATGATCCCCTCTAGGCTTACAACTGACAGAGATAATAAGCAAGAATATATTAATTCAATTCATTGTTGGCTGGGGCTGAAGAGGTTGAGAGGGTCATCCAATATTCACAAGGCTGGGAGCACAATCCCTGTCTCCTGTTGTCTTCCTTCAGCAAGACCCTGACCCCCAATTTTCTCCCGATGGTTATTAATAGATAAATGAGAGGTAATCTGTAAAGCACATTGTCTGCTAAAATAAAAAGGGGCCTTACACATAGATAAAGTCCATTTATGACTGTGCACATTTACAGGAACTGGTCAAATCAAAAGGTAAAAGTAAATCATTCCAAATTACAGTATATGAATAAATATAGCAGTCTGTTGTGAAGTAGTTAATCATCATTCTACTTCATATGTCAGACACTAGATAACTGCAGAAAAATTACAGATATAACAGTTTCAATCACCCTGGTTACACTTCCTACAGTTTTTGTGATTATATGTAAATCAAAAGGAAGACTGCTTTAATTTTAGGAGCATGAGAGTCTCTTTATTTTGGAAATTTAAATCTCCCATGGAGTGTTCACTTCCCTACATGCAGCAGATAATCATAGCACTTAGATTTTCCTCTCTGCCTTGTGTCTGATCCTGTCGTTCAGTTGAAACTCTTGTGGCCTTCGGAAAAGAATTCAGAACAGGTCCTATCTTCCTCTCTGGCCCCTTATCTCTTTGAGGCGTCCTTCACAGGCCATATAAAGACCAGAGACTCATTCTGTTACTTTGCTGTCACTGCCAAAAACAGACAACATGCTGCCTGCTGTTGTAAAGCTCTGCTGTGGAATCTCCTACCCACACCTGAGGAGTCTGGCGGGTAAATACTCTCAGTAACCCGAGAAAAGACGTTTCATTTTATTCCTTTTAATGCAAATGCTGCATTCTGGATAAGGCTGCTGAGCTTTTGTTTCTTTTTGTGTCTCCTACCTGCTCTATCATGCAGGACTTCAACGCACAGCTGTGGCAGTGATAGGCCAGGAGCTAACACACCTGCAGAGATGGGGACAGGTCCAACATCACACGAGGACACATGCTGCATCAAGGCATTACGGTAAAAACTAAAAACATAATTCTGATCTGGTTTCAGAGTGCAGTTGGTGACAGATTATTGATGAGAATCTTTTGCAGAGCCCAAATCTGGAGACATAAAGCCTGCACCACTGCAAGAAGATCAGCTGTTCTTTGTACAACAAGGCCAAGAAGCAATGAGGAAGGCTCTCTGTATGCTGGAGGACGAACAAGGATGGAAGGTCGAGATCGCAGAGGTAACGCTTGATTGATTTAAGTGCCGTGCTGACTTGAGTGACTGAAGTGCCTAAGTTGATTTGCCTCCAATTTCCACCAGCCTAAGTGATCGCTGTCTTCTCCTCTCCATTTAAGAGCAACGGGGATGTGATTTGCAGCAAAGTGATGCCAGGAGCTAGGAAGGTCTTCAGGCTGGAGGCGGTGCTGGAGGCCAGTGTGGACGAGCTCTACGATCTCCTGTTTGTCAGAGTGGAGGAGATGCACCAGTGGAACCCAAGCATACATCATATTAAAGTGAGCAGCTGAATATCTGAATATATTTTATTAACTGTGAAACTAATGATTGACTGGTTATTACTGATTTTATTTGACTGATTAAAAACACAGTACATAATGTGCATACAGTACTAAAATTCATCAGGATACTGCAATAATGTCACGTGACTAGTTTCCATTGCGTCACTGACGTGCAGGCTAGGAGGCAGGTAGGAACAACATGTCTACAGGTATCAGTTACATTCCATGCTTTTAAAGACCCTTTAAAGACATCTTTTAATTTAGGACGAATCATGTTTAACTTATTTAAGCATTGCAGGTAAGTAGTATATAAGTGGTCTTGTGCAGAGGTAAATGTTATGTATGAATATCATCACTAGAGTGAGTTAAGTCAATCTCCATTTTGCCAGTAGGGAAGTGCAAGTATGAAGTAAAATGACAGTATTACATTTTTTTTAAAGACTCTACATAGAAAGGCTTCACTCACTTTTGCAAAAAGAAATTAAATGATATATAAATGAAATTGGATACAATGTTTGTAGTAGTTCAGACCTCACAACTTCAAATTTAAGACTATGTAATGACTTTTAAGGCCTTATTGTTATAAATTTAGGAAATTTTAAGACCTTTTAAGGACCTGTAGACACCCTGATGAAAAGGGAACATGTATATGCTACGAGTATGAGATTTGTTTAAAGGGATAGTGCACCAAAAAATGAAAATTCAGCCATTATCTACTCACCCATATGCCGATGGAGGCTCAGGTGAAGTTTTAGAGTCCTCACAACACTTCAATTATGTGTTTTTGGACACTTGAATCTGGGGCGCCGTCAGCCTCCATTAGGTGGAGTTGTGTTGTTACCCCCTCTCCCCTGGGATCTCTGCAAGTGATGTGAGGACTCTAAATCTTCACCTGAGCCTCCATCGGCATATGGGTGAGTAGATAATGGCTGAATTTTCATTTTTGGGTGCACTATCCCTTTAAGTAATACATCAAATTAAAAATGAAAAAAGCATAAATGTTTGCTTTTATTTGGTGCATAAGAAGAATCAATACTATAGTCATACAAAACAATTAAAAAAAAACATTCAAATTCAGAAACACTGACTTCCTCAGTATCTATTTTTCCAACTGCTTTTTAAAACTATTAAGAGAAAGGGCAGGTTCAGATGGATAGTCTGGATATTGTATTAGGGATCTTAAGTGCTATGTCGTAGGCAACTGGACTTGCTTGAGCACCTCTCATCCAAGAGGCTTCTTCCGCCTTTAAAGTGTGTGTGGGTGTGACACACTGTTGAAAGCCTGTGAATATGCATCAGTCCATTAGAACTGAAGAAACCTCTTGGATTAGAGGTGAAATGTCTTCAATAAACTCAAGCGTGTCCAGTTGCCTACAATATAGCACTTAACATTAACATGACCTGGATGACTGAGAATCTTCACCAACAGATTGTATCAGGGAGAAGCAGGCAGGAGTACCACCATGGCAGCTCAGCAAGGTACTGATGTGGATGGAGGCAGCAGCCAAACGTATTTTAGCCAGATTAAAACAATGACTATATTTAGATTATTTTTACTGCATTACTGTACCTTGCTGTCAAACAGGCACTACGTCTTCTCAAGTATCTAATTTCCATATTCCTACCCATCTCTCTCCTTGCACCTGGTCAGTCACACTCTGCAAAAGTTCTTCTGCAAACTCTGTTCTAATCATTCTTTTTTTATTTTCTTGTATTAGTTACCTCTTCCATAAACTGCTGACAGTCTGACTCATGCAGCTGATCTGTGGCGTAACACAGCGAGCAGCACAGTTGTGCTTATGCGTAGCAATACCAAGTTCTACAGTTGAGAAAATGTAGTGCCAAGAACTCATCTGTCTGATGGCAAGGTAAAGCAATGAAAATTAGACTGAGTTTTTTTAGGTGTCTGAAATCTGTTTTGCTGCTAACCTCCATCCACAGCAGTACATTGCTTAGCTTCTGTGTCAACACTACTGACTGCTTCCACAAACTGGGTGGTGCTGACTGCCATGTACCAAAGGTAAAACACCGACTATGGATAAGTACCTCTTACAACCCCACTTCGAAAAATCTCTCCCAATATTTATCCCAATATTTTATTCAGCTGCTCCCCTGCGTAGAGAAATGTGCCTGAATATTCTTAAAATACGAAGTAGAATAATTTGGCACATACCTTGTAAAATCTTAGATCATGATACGTTTTTTGATGTTGAGTTGAATCTTCTAAGGGTACCCAGTTCAGCTCTTTCAAATTGTTTCAACTATTGCATGTTCTTATAGAGATTAAACAGCCCAGTCGCCAGAAATGTTGTACGTTTCTGCAGACCACAAATAGGAGGCTGTGGCTCGAAGACAGAGTGGGTTGTCCACTAATCGGAAGATCTGCGGTTTGATTCTCGGCTCCCGTATCCTTGGGCAAGATACTGAACCCCAAATCGCCTTCGATGGCTGTTCCATCGGTGTGTGAGAGTATGTGAATGGTCTAGGTCTACTTACCAAATACATTACATTTGCCTGTTTCATTCATACCATATCAAGGTTTCTGAATTGACGTACAGTAGCATATGAGCTAACTTTGTCATAAGGAGGTGGAGGGGATTGTGGATGACGTGTCACCTAGGCAAGATGCCTGCCAAGCTGCAGACCACTGTTTGAGACCATCAAACAACAAAACTGATTGTGATTTAGACACAAAAAGCGACAGTATTTTACGAGACACTGCTGCTTTTTCAGCTGGGATCGTGCCCCCGAAAGCAGGTATTATAAGCAAAAACATGATCTTTACCTAAACATAACCAAATGTTATTTGTTCCTTTACCAAACCACACATAACCACAGAACTGTTGTTTCAAAATATCCACTACATAATAACGTACAAATGTAACATATCCATGAGTTGCAGAAAGTACCATGCCAACTTTTTTTTTGTCTGGTGACTGCATTGGATTAAGAACAACCCTTATTAGTTTGTTGTGATCATTGTTGCATTGAACCAAAGAAAGAAACTTTAGGCAATATTCTTGCCAAAAATAAAGGACCTAAAAAATACCATACAAATACAGTTTAAGCAACCTGGGTTTAGTGGAGATTTGTATTTTTTGGAGACGTTCCGAACCATATATTCAGTTAAGCTCTAGCCGTTTGTGTTGTTTGTTCTTATAGCCATAATTTATTGATGTCATGTTATATATTTGCACTTCAGTCCTGCAGTCCATGTAGTGTTTTGCAAACTAAATTTGATATTTGTGTCTCTCCTAGATTCTGAAGCGTGTTGGACCCGAAACGATCATCACTCATGAAGTTTCAACCCAGACAGCGGGAAACATGATTGGCCAGAGGGACTTCCTGAGTGTCAGACACAGTTGCAAACAAAAGTCCAGCGTTTATCTTGGAGGAGCAGCAATTCAGCTGGAGTCCTTCCCACCTCAGGCAGGCTACGTAAGGTAAGATCACACGCAGACCAGGCCCAACTCATTAATCATCAGGTGTTCGAATATATTCTTAGACTTCAGAGCATCGTATGGGTGTCTGAGTGGAGTAATTTTAGTTTCCCACAGTAAGATGTACAAAGCGGAAAAAACATCTTCAACTCCATAGTAATAAATCCTGTGGAGTGCTTTGATTTACTCTAACATTTCTGTTTCTTCTGTGATAATATGCTCAGCAATGACTAACATCAGTGTCATTAACTGTCTGCAGTGATATCTTTTCCATAAAAAAAAAACAAGTTTTATCAGTGGGATGTCAAAAGATTTTGAAGAATGTGAGGACAGAGGAACAGAACAAAAAAGTTAAGAATAAAAGCCATAATATTTTTAATGATACTCAGCAGAGTAAATGTTTATTTTTTCCCAAAACAAGACTTTTGGCTCTATTAAAAGGATTTGTAGCGCATGGTCTAATGTGCATGGCGCAAGTGTCATCTCCCATTCCCTTTAAAAGCCAGATACGCCTGCACCTGCATGTCTAATTCGACAAATTGGAGAAGTGAGTTTCCTGCTGAGGGTAATGCAGTGAGAGCAGTAATGTCACTACCGCAAATATCACGGGACAATTAAGCAACGAACCTAAAAGCTGTAGTCATGAACTTGGCAGCGGCAGCAGAACTAAACCCTGAGCTTCTTAAAATAACTGAGTAAGTTGCATTGCTGCTCCTGTGTAAATGCACACAGAGTCTCTCTTAACAGGGAGTCAGACAGCAGCACCACAGCTCTGCTCTGCTCTCTGCTATGTTCAGATTTTAGAGAATTTCATTCATCTTTTTCCTCTTTAATGATTTATTATTTAAGCCAACTGCAAACCATCTGCTAGTCTCCATGTGTAACAAGCAGAGTGTATGTGTATTGTGAATGCGCCTATGCAGGTGCATCTTACTATTTGAAAAATGCACCCTTTAAATAGCAGGAAGATACTCTGCCATTGACTTCAGACCAGTGCTGTGTCTCAAATCGCGTACTTCTGTACTTGCACTTAATATATTGAGTGTATAAGTGCGTTCACACTGAGAAGTATGGAAAAATGCAGTGCACTATGAATACCCTGATGGTGCACTCAAAATGTTCAAAAAGTTGAGTGTGGAACTATGGACACTTCTCGCCCTCAATAGTCGCCATCTTGGCTACGTAGCGGAAGGGGAGGAACTACTTTTCAAACTGGAAATGGCGGCCAAGGACTGTGTGACCGTGAACGGCGCTGTATTGTATAAATACATGTGTTTTTTGCACTAAGCACCATTATACTGTTGTCAGGTATAAGCCAGCCAGGCGTTGCGCTAGACTTTTTCCTCAACGGTCATTCTGACCGACAGGGTCATAAAAATCCGGTCATAATCTATTTTTACCGGTCATTTTAATTTTCGTTTTTAAATGATAATAAAGATATTCAAAGACATTTATTTTTCATTTGTTCGTTTTTAATAAATCCAACAAGCAAGTTATAAAGTGTGCATTAATAAGGACATGAACGAAAAGATGAACAGACATCCACACACCCGTGCCATTAGGCTTCGCCCTGGACACACCGGACGGCACTAACACGTCACTAACGCGTCCGGTGTGTCCAGGGTGTTATGTAGTTATGTCTGTAGGCTCGGTGACACAAAATTAAAATTGTAATGAAGTGAATAGGGTATTGAAAAATGTGTTCGGTTATGCAGTGTTGTGTTTTTTTAAATTATAAACACGGTATTTTCTCCTCATGTTCCACAGTGCGTGCTGTTATTTTATTTTCAAAATTGGCTGGATTCTTTCGTCTTTTCTGTGTCCAACTTCCTGTTTGGGACGATCCGCTCGATCAAGCTTGACAGAAGCGCTCGCGGCTCACATGAAAATAGACCAGACGCCGAACTGAAGCGCTGCCTCCGCGGGCGCTCCACTCTGCTCAGCGGCCTGTGTGGACAGTCAGATAGGTTAACATGGGCGCCGATTGAAAACTGCCTCCGCTGCTGGACACTGCGCTTCGGTTCCGCATCCGGTTTGCCCAGGGCGTTATGTCAACAACGCTACATGAAACAGATGAATGACTTTTTCTCTGCAGTGTGAAAACAGCAGCCACTTAAACCACTGACTGTGCACTCTGCCGCCAAGTGGGCAGGGGTGGTAATTGCAACCGGTCAAAATGACCGACAGCCTTCAGCTTTTCCGGTCATTGTTGTAAAAAACTGGTCAATGACCGAGAAAATCTGGTTAACGCAACCCCTGAAGCCAGCAGTATGTCTATTGGGTTAATTTAGCAGTCTTTAATGATTTGGAGCCGCGAACGATAACGCGAATACTAATGCTAGTTTGCTAACCAGCTAATTTGCGGAAGTCATTTCTGGTGAGTGCACAACGGCCGTGTTTGGTTTGAGACAACACTACCCTGTCGAAATTTGCACACTACGGCAATGAGTACATAGTGCACATAGTATACTACATAGAAGTGTACTAACGGAAGTATGTGATTTGAGACACACCTCAGGTTTTTGTTGGTTAATGGCGAAGTCACTTTTTGCTGCCTCAAAATAGCATTTCACCAACAATGCCCCTGACCATGGGTGCACACATAGACACATTTGGTACTTCCACAACTTGGGCGCTTGCTGTGAAAATGACAACTGCATTTGTCTGAAACTAGCAATGACAGTTGCGCTGCGTGATGCGAGGTGTAAGATAGGCCACAGCCATGCTAGCAGCTCTGTGAGACTGCCTTTATGAGCGAAATGCTAACTTTAGCTCAAGCTGAACCCTTCTTCCACATGTTTTGTGTCTTAGTGACTAATGGGAACAACAATTTTTTGAAACTGGTCCAGTGTTGAGCGAGAGGGCTGGCTGCAATGTAACCACTCGGGTCATGTTCTCAGCCTCAATGTATGTCCATTAAAAGTGCTTATTTTTGCCACTGACAGGCTCAGATTATTATTCCTACTGTATTAGTGTCTGACAACTTATTAAAAGGATCACTACTAAGATACATCTTTTGTTTCAGAGTCAGAGCCTTTTTGTTTAACCAGAAACAGCTCTGAAACTGCCTTTACCAAACCCACCAGATGAACCAGACCAGTGATTGTAGCATGTATAGAGCCAGATTTTTTCACATCTAACTGGGTGAATTAAGGGTTTATTTTAACCTAACCAGAGTTAGTGATGGTTGGAACAGCAAAATGATAAACCAAGATGTTTTTGAGTTTTAATTTGCTTCTTTTCACTTTGTGTTTTGTCTGTTATGATAATATAATTACTGTTTATTTAAATGGAGTCTGGTGGCAGTAGCCATTTTAGGGCTGTTTATGGTTAAACAAAAAGGATCTTACTCTTAAACAACAATGTCTATCTCTGTAGGATTCCTTAAGAACAATCTGAGCCTGTCAGTGGCAAAAACCTAAATAGTTACACAGACAGCTGTGGTGTCACTCAAGACTGGACCAATGTCAAAAATTGTTGTCTGTTAGTCACTAAGACACAAAATTATGGAAAAATAGGGTCCAGGTTGAAAAATACGGTCCCTTCCCTTTAAGTTTCAACATGAAAATATACATAGTGGACAAGCATCCATCATAAACCCTGGATGAATTCTAATGAGTTTCTAATGACTTTTTTTTTTGTGTGTTCACAGAGCCGAGGATGGACCAACCTGCATCGTCATTCAGCCTCTGGACGAGGATTCGGGAAAAAGCCGCGTCACATGGCTTCTTAACATGGACATAAAGGTAAATTCTTATGTACTGCAGTTGCCATTTTGTGAAGGATAATAGAAAAAACATCTGCAGACTCCAGTATGTGCTATATCCATTTTTCACAACATTTCTTTATACGATGGCATTCAACTTCTTAGATTGGCCATTTTCTGCTGTGCTGTTATCAAGAAACAGCTCAAAAACAAAATAATACCACGCACAACCCATCTGTTTCAAGAAAGCAATATGCAAAAATGATGCGCCGGTTTCAGTGTGGAGCAGGCAATTGTAATTCAGGTCAGAATCCGCTCTTTAAGATGTCCATGGTAACTCGTGTTCTCCGGGGATAAATAGTACAAACCACAGCAAACAATAATCACTGTGATAGGAGATACACAATTTTGAGATAAGTGGTAGCTACTATATACAATGACAACTGAGTACTGGCGTGTGAGACGGCTGGCGGTGGCGAGAGCCAACAGCGCAATCAATCAACAGCAGTGTGGCAAGTGAGGAATGAAAAGCCGATGGTCTGCAGTAGATAAACTGCCGGGTTTGTAGAGCTACATGTAGCTGGAGTGGATTCCAGCGTTGGAGAGAGACGTGAGAGATCATTTACTTCATACTGAAGCATCAACACAATGCGGAGCTAGATTTAATTATTTGATACAGGTAGTTTAACCGATTGGTTCCCAGTATAAGAGCTGGGCTCCTCTACAGGGTCACAAGATAAGTTCTGCCACAAATATTTATATTCATATTAAGCCTTTTTTTAAGTTATTTTAAAGGTGTCAAAGGGCTCGAACTACACACAGTTTTTATGTTCAGGGTCAGAAGCCAAAAACGTCAAGAACCACTGGATTTGAACAACGTACTGAATTTATAAGCTTTACCATATGTTTCAGGTAAAATATTCACCTGAAAAGAAAGTAGTAACCTACATAAAGTAAATGTAAAAATGAAGTGGACTAAAATTTACAATATTTTTCTCTAAAATGTAGCAGAGAAGCAGTAATAAGCAGCCAACAGGAATGAAAAGAGTAGTTACTAGAATATTAGTCAAAGTATTTGTGTGTAAATTAAAATTTGATTGGTTAAAATGTACGCAGAGTAAACTTTACTACAGAAAATTTCAATTAGGCTATCTAATAATAAACAAAATAAGGATCTAAATTCAATTTTAATGATTTAAATGCGTAATGGTGTTAATCAGTGTAGCCGTAGTGGAATTAATCTGAAAAGACAGACAGTTAGCCTCAACAAAAATGGCCAACAATAAAAAAGGAAAGATTGACACTACAAAAATTCCACTGAAATATAAAACGCAGGTATTATAAATTATTCTTTTAATTTTTTTTAATTGTTTTTAATTTTTTTTTTTGCATTCTGTGTTTTTCAGTGACACTATCTGATGTCATATTTTTTAGTGTCATTTTTTTCCCACTTCAAAAAACAATAGAGACTGAGAAAAATGATTGAAAAAAGTGTCAGTAAAATAAATAAATTAAATACATTAAATCAAATTAAATTAAATAAATGACACTGAAAAAAAGAGTGGCATAAGGGGGAAAAAATCAAAAGATTGTCATTGAAAAACACACCAGAATGTGGGAAAAAATAAATAAAATAAAATATATAAATAATCTAAATAAAATATAAATATAATAAATAAAATGTTTGGTTTTTTTTCACTGCAAATTTGTTTTCAACACCAAAATGAACTGCCTCTATTAGCTCTCCATATCTTTGGACACTGGGGCGGATGCACCACTATAAAGCCACATAAATCAAACATCTCCTTTAAATTCAAAAGCAGAATAAAACATCACCAATTCTTACAACACATAATAAACCTTCCAAATATGACGAGACATAAAACCAGTAAGGGTGAATCTTTTTTTTTTTTAGCCATGACACGGTGTTACTCAAAGCTAGCTATCCTTCTTAACACTACCATAACATTACATAACGTTACATGAATACTGAAACACCACCTCACAAAGTACCCTAAGCTAATGTATTGCCACATGTTGCAAAATGACTCTACCACAAAAGATTCAGAACGTGACAAAGACATGGCTGCGTCGGTCTGTGCAATATGCGTGGGTTTCATTTGGGGGTGACACTTGTGAAAATGCGGGTTTAGGACCTTCGACAAAAAATTTTAAGCCTCAGACACTTCATTTCTTACATCCTGGTGACGTCTTATTCACCAGTTTGTGCCATTTCTGCATCAAATTATGGTGTAAAAGTCATTTATTTTCTAAAAATAAATGTCCTCTGCTACCTTCATGTTTTTAGTGGAGGACACCAACATGTTGTAAATACTGAGGGGAATGTGCCCCCTGCTTCCCCCCTAAAATCTACACCAGTGGCAGGTGGTGCAACAAACCGGAAACCACTTGCTTCGAGCAACAGCGGTGTGATAACGTGAATGAAACAGAGGAGGAGGAAGGAGTGCGACATCTAGTGGTCAATATTATCAACAGCACCTTTGACAGTTTTTGTACAATGCCACGTTCCCATCCATTACAACCGTCACAACTATCGTGTTGTCATTACTCACCAGTGTGAACAACTGTGTGTGAGTCTTGGGCACCACGAAGTAACCTCAGTCTGCTCCAGGTCCAATCCACTTGGCCTCTCTGTCCCAGTATAACCAGTCCACTCTTCCTCTGTGCTCCCACTGCGCTGCTCAGACGTTTCCAACATTTTCAGTCACAGTCACAAGTATCCATCGCTAGCATTAGCATGTTAGCTACACACCGCGTGCACCTGTTAGTGACGCAGTTACGCACGTGTGTTCGATTTGCGTCACGTCGCGTGCTCACCATATGGCGCATTAAATCAAAGCGTAATTAAAGTAGATGCACAAGTACATTGATGCTAATTTAAACCCATAATGAGTAATAATTCATCATATTGCATTGCTTACTCTTCATTAACTGCTGGCCTGTTGGTAAACATTTATTATTTCCGGTGTGTCACCTGAGTGCAGGCTGTCACCTGTGGTAGGCTAAGCTCCGCCCTCCTGCGGCCGGCAGCTGCTGATTAAGGGACTGTTGGTTACTTATGAGGGGGGGAGGGGCTGGTGCATAATGAGGGAGGGATGTCAAAAAAAAATGCACTGGGAAGGGTTTTTATTTTGGCTTAGAGCAGGGACATGGAACTGAATGGCTGTCGGGAAATGCATCAGAAGCATGCTGACTGTTGTTAAAAATCCTTTATTGATTCACGCATACACCGGCAGGGTTGGGAGAGAGTTACTGCCCCAAGCGAGGGACTTCAAGTATCTCGAGGTCTTGTTCACGAGTGAGGGTAGAATGGAGTGTGAGATGGATCGGCAGTTTGGAGGAACGTCGTGGTGAAGAGGGAGCTGAGCCAGAAGGCAATGCTTTTGATTTCCTTGTCCATCTACGTCCCAACCCTCACCTATGGTCATGAGCTCTGGGTAGTGACCGACAGATGAGGTTGGTGGACAGATGTGGGGTTGCTGGCTCAGCCTTAGAGATAGGGTAAGGAGCTTGGACATCCGGAGGGCGCTCGGAGTAGAGCCAATGCTCCTTCGCGTCGAAAGGGGTCAGTTGAGGTGGTTCGGGCATTTGATCAGGATGCCTCCTGGGCGCCTCCAATTAGAGGTGTTTCAGGCACGTCCCATTGGTAGGAGGCCCCAGGGCAGACGTCTGGATGTCTGGAATACGTTGTTCAGCCCTTTAGATGAGTGGTTGAAAATGGATAGATGGATAAACCAATGCGTTTATTTTATACCTTGATATAGATTTTCTAGTTGAAACGCATTGGTTTATCGGTGAATCAATGAAGGACTTTTAGCTACAGTCAGTGCCTCAAATGTATTTTACCATGGACTTTTACCCTTTGCTAAATGGTGCTTCAACCCAGTGCAGCACTCCCTTTTCCTCTTTCAATGATTGTATTTTGTGTTTATTCAATTACTCTCTGAACCCCAAATCCTGCCGGTGGGTTTAAAAGGCATATCTTTTCTTTAAATATCACAAAAATTACACAATTTATTGTCGCCAGAAACTGTAAAAACAGAAAGTATCATCATATTTTCATCTTTCTGAAGGGTCAGTCAACACATCCGGCGCTTTTTTATGACATTTTCTTACAACTCTTTAATTCATGCAGTTATTTAAAAATGCAGAATATGAAACCAGGCATTGTGTAACTGATGGAAATATTATTGCACACTACTTATTTGCTAAATGCCTTTTTTCAATAAACGTATTTGCATATGGCTGGTACTATTAATTGTGCAGCAGCAGTCACATTAGCCAGTTTGTTTCACAAGACTGACAGCCTTCAAAATACAACTCAGGGGATTAACAAAGTTTATTGTTGTTCTCAGGGGTGGCTGCCAAAGTCCATTGTCAATCAGGCTTTGCCCAGAGCACAGCTGGATTTCACCAAACACCTCCGAAGACGCCTCACAGCGAGCACCACCCTGAGCTGAGTGTGAAGCAGCACTCTGTCATTACTCACAGGGGAACACTGGGAGATGGAGGAACTGTGACAGCCCGGCCGCTTGGCAGACGGCTGCCCTTTCAGCGAGAGTAGAAACGCTGCTCGGAGGAGACACTGGCAGACACCATTGTCAGCAGCCCAGTGTCGGCCTGCCAGAAGGACGCTGGCTTGTAATAGGAATTAATATCACAGTGTGCCACTCAGGCCTCAAGATTCCCTGATTGGGAGTCAGCGCTTGTCTATTGACACATGGCTCACTGAATATGATTGGAGAACATTAATAAAATCTTTGAATGTGCCTTTTTCTTGCCTGAGTCATTTTCATCCATCATACTGTAAAGACATCTTGAATAGCACATTTGTTAGCAATACATAAACAGGTGCATCCTGTCAGGTCATATACACTAAATCTACATGACTCAATTCAGACTGAATGCATCAGTGACTATGAGGTTTTGCTTCAAGGACACTCATTTAAAAAGATGTACTCAATTAAGTTGTGCTCGTCAACCTCCTAATGGAATAATAAGATAAACACAACAAGAGTCAATGGAGGCTAAATAGAGGAAAGTGAATTGACAAGAATCTCAGTTCTTTCAAACGTGTTTTACTTTGTTCTCCATACCACTTAAAAATTCAATAAATATTAACATTTAAAGCTTTCATTCACGTTCATATATACAAGAACTATACAATAAACATAATGATGTTATGAACTGCAATGCCGGAATGGTTTAACAGTATAACCAACCACAGTCTGTAGACTTACAGCATCGCCTGGACTTTTTTTTTTTTTTTTAACAATTGCGACAAACTTTCCATTCAATTCTTGCCTGTTAATTTCTTTCCATAACTTGAAATTTACATTATATACATTATTATCTGAAAAATATATCAGTTACAAAAAGATAATGAGCTTTTTTCTTGAATCTTTTTTTTTGTTTTTAAACCGTTACGTGACTGACTTCCACAAAGGCAGACAGAAGGCATGCTACAGTGGGGTTGGTTTGCAGACAGTCATGATTTTTTTTTTTTATTACCAGTGAGGAAAATCACCGATACGTTGGAGCAAACAACAAAATAAGAGCACCGGAGACAGAGAAGCGACGAGGCTCCCTGCCAGGAGTGATGGCTATGGAGTGTGGAGTGTGCCATGGGAATAATTATAGATTATTATAATCAGTTAGATAGATTTAAAAGTCATGTGCATTTCTATAATGAATAAAGCTGTCTCTCCCCGCTTCCAGACTTCATGCTACGCTAACAACCTCCTGTCTCTAGCTCCACAGTTATTGCACAAATAAGGCTGGTACTGATTTTCTCATCTAACTTTCAGCAAGGAAGCTGAAAGCACATGTGTCATGTTATGTAATGCACTCTGTTGCCACCCTCTGCTCAGCCCATGAGTTCCTGTCATTGTTCTGTGGGTTGGATCTCAATGGACAATAGACTGTGAGAGACATAAGTACAGGGAACAACAGAAAGTTAAATATTTTTTTCCATTCTACTTTCAATTTATATCAGTTCTTAAAATCAGAAATTACATTTTTAATCTATAATAATCATCTATATTTTCAAATTAACCCAGTTAAAGCTGTTGTCTGTAACTTTTCTAAAAGAACGTTTTGTCCTATCTAATGAAATTGTCACTACATCCTGACACATGAGACACATTATCTGTATAAAACATCACATTCCTTTACCTCCTCCTAGTGCTGCTAATGGCATTTGCATGGATCCACCGCAGCTGGACAAAAACAACCAATCAGAGCTGAGGGGTCAGTCATGTCAATCACTGCGGTCAAATTGTCACACAAGGCAGGGCTGAGCAAATATGAACCAAGATTCTGTTTCTGAGACATATTTTAGTGTACTGTTTAGCTGTAAAATGAGAAAGTTTAGCCCCGTTTCCACCAAGCAGTACGGTAGCAGTAGGATACAGTTCAGTTTGGTACGCTTTTGTTCCGTTTCCATTTTAGTCCGACCGCCGGCAACTTTTAAGGTGGAAAGTTTACTTGTTATGTTACTCAATGTATGAGTTGACGACGTGAATTCATCAGCGCACCTAAATTTCACTATGACAACTTCGACCATTGCTCTAGTTTTTATTGTCTCTCTTGGACGACTTACACTTTTAGTAATGAGTGGATCTTCAAGCATTTAAAAAAATATATATTAATTTTGACCAGATTATGTGAACTAAACTAAAAAAAGCGCACCAGCAACACTAAACGCTTGTGCTTGCCTTAGAAGGGCTAAATGCACAGACACGCTATTTTTAAATATCCCATGGAGAGAGACTCTCACTGCAGCCTCTTCTATTTTGCTCGGAAAATGTCGGTGTGCAACCTGTTGTGTGGACGATAAACGTGAAAGAGTTTGCGGTGGAAACACTAAACGGACCTAAGGTCTAGGTACCATGTCTGAAGGGTTACCTTTGGCTCCAAAGGTACCATACCGAAAGAATTGGAAACAGGGCTTTTGTGACCAGGCCGCCATGTTGACAACAGTTGAGCCGAAGATTCAGCACCGCCCACCAGTTGGAGATTGTTGCATATGCCATGACAGGAACCAGGAGCAGGAGGAGGACCATGTTTTATCACAGAATATCTGTCTCATGCACTACTGTCAGGATTAGGGATGTCAATGGTTAACTGTTAATTGGTTAACTGCCAAAAATATCTCTTCAGTTTACTGCACTGCAAACCATCCAGATTTGGTGGGAGATAGACAGCCGCCTAGCCACGTTAACCAGCGTGAATATAGTGCCCAACGCTCACCTTTAGGTCGCCACTGGTTAGCTAACCTTAGCCGCTCTGTATAGCGCACCAGCTTAGTTAGAGGTGCCGCTCATTCGGTGATTACTGCTAGCAGTGCTGTGGAGACATTGTGCCCACCCTCCAGTCTCCCCCAGAACGCCGTGGTGAGCAAGTGGCCCAAATTTTTAGCCGCAAATCTCTTTTAGGAATGTTAACTATTTTATTGCTGTTAGCACTGTAAGCAGTGTCAGCATCGCTAGTGGTGCTAACATAGTTGACAATGTTAAGGTGGTTTGCTGCTCAAAATGAAGCCACTTTTTCACAGGGGCTACCTGTGGGGTGACCAGAGGGTGGTTACCATGTGTTTGCAGCAACGTAGCCGTTGCCAGCTAGCTCCCACCCAAGCGGGCCGGTGCACAGTGTCGAGCGGCTAAAGCTAATGTTAGCTAACCAGTGGAGACCAGAGGTGAAGTGGGCACTTTGTTTTCCTCATGTTAAAGTAATTGGCTGTCTGTCTGTTAACACAGCCAACACAAAATAAAATAAAAGGTAAGACATTTACATCACTTTTTTTTTTTTTTAATTTTACCACCTCTAAATGGATGGCGCTTTGAAATGCAGTGCTAAAGCTAGCTAAAACTAGCTCCAAACTAAAAGCAAGGTCTCCTTGTATTTCACGTCATTTTGCATTTTCTTCTCAGAAATTACCAGATTAATTACCAGCTGATGTGTGTTGGGCTATCAAAAGCAAAATATTCTGAAAATGAAGTCCCTAGTCAGGATATAGGGACACTTGCATTAAATATGAGGAATGGTTATTTTATAAATGTTACTCACTATATCTTAAATAACTTAGCACTGTAACACTGAATTATTATTTAACAAACGGCAGGGTCTATAATTATTCAGGCGGCACACTCTAGCCTCCACAGTTGACACGTGCACCTCCAAAACCATGGCCTTTGACCTCTCCTCACATGTTCACAATACAAGTTCAATAGTAGTTCTAATGCACTTGAAAAAAAACAGGATTACACAACTGTACACAGATAAAAACATGAATGTAGCAATGCAGTCATCACATTTTAAACACGTCTTGTAGTCATTTTAGTTTACAGCACCTGACAACTTTTTTTTTCGTCCGTTTCATATTTGAAGCACAGAGGGCAGAGCGACACTGTGCACAGATCACTCTGGAGTTTTGATGAGGTAACCATCGCTGGTCTGGTCTAAGTTCACTGGCATGGAAAAAAAAAAATCTTTGTAAAAAAAAAAAAGAAAGAAAATATCCGCAGCCTGACTGCGAGTCTATGAGATGCTGCAAAGGGTGAGCTGATGTACGAGACCGTCTCACTGAGCAGCACGTTCACAACATCGCTCACTGTTCATTTCTGAGCTGACAGGGTTCTGTGACTCGAGTCCCTCTCAGATCCTAAATCGTCCCTTCTTGACCTGGCAGCGACTGGGCCTAAAGTGCTGTTTGGACTGTGCTCTTTAGAGGCACCTCCACTGGAGTCTGCTGTGGGCCGTGGAGGCCCTGGAGGTAGAAGAGGCCCCGGGTCTGAGTCTCCTTTCCCAGCTGTGAGGAGGGAGTCGCTGGTGGGACCCTGGGGCGGAGCAGCACCTGTGGATGGCGAGGCTTCAGCTTCAGCTTCAGCTTCAGCAGCAGCAGCAGCTGTGGTTGGCACCGGGGCAGTGGAGCGCAGCCATCTGCCAATGGCTTTAGTGGTTTGCAGTGGGCTCTTGGTCGTAGCAGGTGGAGGAGCCTTGGGTGATGCAGGGTGAGAAGGAGTGGAGGTCTCGTGTTCAACTGAGGCCAATGGGGTGCTATGGAGGTCAGGAGCATGTGTGGCGAGGTTTTCTTTCTTGTTGCAAGACTCACAGCAAAGCTTATTATATCCAGGGATGGAGCAATATCGGGCAAGAACCTCCATCTGACAGAAAATTGATTTATCCCCCAGACATGGCTCATCTGGTGACAAGAGGGGAGAGGACATCACTCAGAGGACTGAAACACAAAAACATTTCTACTGTGGAGGTTTAGATTCTGAAACAAATTATATATTGACTTACTTGAAGAGATTTTGTGGACAGGGTTTTCAGGAGCCCTTTGGTGTACGGCTTCGTCTTTTATTGTGGAGTTTTCCATTGTTTCGACAGTGAGAGGAGACACTGGCTGCCCTGGAGCGGAGGACAAAAGAAGGTCAATAAAATTCCTACGTATGAACCAGTGTTGTAGACAAGAACACCTCAACAGGACCAAGATCAGACTGTATCGAGACTGAAACAAGACTGAGGGGTTGAGAACACGACCAGACCAGTGCGAGTCCCTCACTGCATTACACGTTTACAATAAAACGTGGAGTATACGTACCAGAAAACAAATTCTAGAAAACAGATTCCTCTCAATCAGACCTGGGCATTTTACGGCCCGCGGGCCACATCCGGCCCGTTGGCTGTCCCTATCTGGCCCGCGTGAGGTCAAGTAAATTAAAACATAAATCAAAAAATAGGCCTATTTATGCTGTGCATGAAATACGGCTGTGTTGCTTTTATTTTGAAAAGATTGCCGTTGTTTTTTTTTTTTTTATATATATTTACGTAGTGACGCACATGCGTAGGCGAACAGCTACATGTGATGCTGGTAAGCTAGCCCTCAACATGTCAGCCCACGGCAAAAAGAGAAAAATTGATACAGAATGCCGCGTTTTCAACAAGACGTGGACTGCTAAATATTTATTTACAGAAGTCAAAGGAAAAGCCATGTGCTTAGTTTGTGGTGTACAGGTTGCCGTGTTCAAGGATTACAATTTGAATCGCCACTACGTGACTAAACACGAGGAGAAATACAAGAACTTGTCTGATCAAGAGCGCGCAAGGGAGTCGGATGCTTTGCTAGCTAAGCTGCAAAACCAACAAGGACTTTTTACTAAACTTTGCACATCCAGAGATGCAGCTGTCAAGACAAGTTATGTCATATCCCACAAGGAGTGTTTGTTGGACTCTGCCGCCCTAATATGCCTGGAGAAAAAGGGAGCTTTTGAGAACGTGCCTCTCTCACGACAGACTGTAACGAGGAGGGTTGAGGACATCGCGGGGAATCTGGAACTTCAGCTGAAGAACAGCGCGGTCAGCTTCGACTATTTTTCCCTGGCTTTGGATGAGAGCTGCGATGTACGTGACACTGCCCAGCTACTCATTTTCATACGTGGGATATCTGCGGACTTTAAAATCACGGAGGAGCTGGCAGCCATGCAGTCAATGAAAGGGACAACAACCGGGAGTGATTTATTCACGGAGGTAAATGCATGTTTGGACAAGTTGGGACCAAAATGGGACAAGCTGGCAGGTGTGACAACGGATGGTTGTCCAAATCTGACGGGGAAAAATGTTGGACTTTTGAAGAGAATGCAGGATAAAGTGACAGAAATGAACCCTGAGCAGAAATTGACATTTTTGCATTGTATTATACATCAGGAAGTGTTGTGTAAGTCAGTGTTAAAAATGTTGTTGATGTTGTAACTAAAACAGTTAACTTCATCAGGGCAAGAGCACTGAATCACAGACAGTTTGTTTCACTTTTGGAGGAAAGCGAGACTGAACATCGTGACATAGGCTTCCACACAGCTGTCAGGTGGCTCAGCCTGGGCAAAGTACTGAAAAGTTTCTGGGACCTGAGAGAAGAGATTCACGAGTTCTGTGTGAAGAAAGGAAATGACATTCCACAGCTTTCAGATGCAGACTGGATTGCAGACCTTGGTTTTGCTGTAGATGTGACGGCACTAATGAATGAACTAAATGTCAAACTGCAGTGCAGAGGCCTTTTTGTACATGAAATGTACAGCGCAGTAAAGGCTTTCATGAGGAAGTTGCAGCTTCTCTCAAGCCAAATGAAGGACAACATTCTCACCCACTTGCCAACACTGAAGGAAGCCACAAAATCAGCTGATCACCTCGACAAGTACTCATCCATGTTAGAAGCACTGCATGGTGAGTTTTCAAGGCGATTTCAGGACTTCAAAATAGTTTAGAGTGAAATGCACATGGTTTCTTCTCCCTTCACCTGCAGTGTGGAGAATGCACCCAGTGATGTTCAGATGGAACTGATTGACCTTCAGTCTGACACACTTCTGGCAGAGCACTTTAGGTCAGTCTCACTGCTTGACTTCTACTATTCCCTCAAAGAGGAGAACTTTCCACACATGAGGAGGCATGCTCAGAAGATTCTAGTCCTCTTTGGATCTACCTACGTATGTGAACAGACATTCTCAGTGATGAAGTTCAACAAATCCAGATGCAGATCCTCTATCACTGATGACCACCTCTCAGTTGTCCTTCACATATCCACCTCAGACATTCAGCCAGATTTCAATGCACTTGTTCAAGCCCAGAGCAGGCTGGATTTTTCCCACTGAACAAGTAAAATGAACTGTAAAACATTAAAAGCATTTATTGCTTTTTGCATGAAGTTGACAGTTGCTTATCTTTAACATACTGTAAAACACCTTTTCAGTATTTGGGGAGATTAACATGTTAAAAATAAAATGAAACACTGATGCAATTATTGTTTTTACTGTTTATTACTTCTATAGGAGTATTTTCCTACACCACAATTTCATATATTTATATAAATATTTACAGAATATCCTTATTCTTCTGAATACCAGTAGTAACTAATCAAAAATATATAATTTAATGCTTTTTACAATGGGGAAAATTAATACTGAGCAGAATTAAGTTCAAGTTATTGTTGGTTCGGCCCTCCAACACAACTCAGTTTTCTTATGTGGCCCCTTTTAAAAATTAATTGCCCACCCCTGCTTTAACGGGAGGTGGAGGACTGAAGAAAGATTTTATTTGGTAGCCACAGCAGCGGGATCACTAATACAAGAAAGCGAAATAAAGTGGCAACACATCAACGCTGCTGATGCTGTCAGCTGTGTCTGTGGGACTGCACAGACAGTGCCATCTTGCGCAATTACGCACGAGGGTCACCGCAGTATTTATATGTTTATGGCAATTAGTCTGATCAGACACCCGGCCTGAATTACAGCATGAACCAGTGGTATCCCTGTCCCAAAATACAACGTGTAATTTGAAATACAATTCAAAGATGAAAGTGTAATAGGCGAACATGTTTCTTCATGCAGGTTTTGTCATGAACAGCACATGTCTAAGTAGGGCTGATGAAATGAGTGTAACGGTTGTGCTTAATGGCTGTATTTCGAGACATGATAAATGCACTGGAAATATTTAGCTAAATAAATAAATATATTCCATGCAGTCGCGCCATCCTCTCCCCCTCCTGTGCTCACAGAGTGGACAATGAGACGTTAGAGGCAGTGCGGATTAAATACGTATTTAGAAAGAATTTCAATTCAGGATTTGAGTTGGATTTTACAACGTTTTTATGAAACAATTAAAACTCACTCCAAGCGCAAATTAGGCTGCTGGATTTAATTTCAATGATAACGTGGATCTAAGGTGGATATAGCGTGACATTAAATTTGTGTGAGACATCAATAAAAATCCGACTCCACTTCTCCACCTCAGCGTCTGCGTCGCCACTTCCCAGTATCTCCAAAATGTGCGCACGCATGACTCAGAGTGTGTTTACAGGTGCGCACATTCTCCCGCCAAGTTTATTTTTATAAATCACAACTTTTGCGTGGTAAGTGGCGTACACCACTTTCAAGCCCCGTTTTGTGCGTAAGCAAGCTTTATAAATGAGGCCCCAGGTCCCCAGATTTTGCTGCAGATTGAGCGCTCTTGTCTCTCACAATACTCTATGTAGAGGCTGCAGCAGACACGATGCAACGTACAGCACAAGGGAGACTTTCCGAGATGACATTATCTTCTCTCTTCTGCTTAGAAGTGGTGAATTTACAATGCAATTTCACTGCAGTCTCTGGCTTTGATTTGAAATCTAGTGTAAGCAAAAAATGTTGCACATTCCTGATCTGTTATTAACACAGTTAGATTGTTTACGATATTGAGTAATGCTGCTGTCACACTGAACTTCTCACTGAGCACATTCAAACTTTAAAACTGCATATGAAGAACTGATTTGACTGGCATAATTCTTAGTCGGGTGCAGCCCTAGTAAGTGTGTTATACCAAATGTCTTAATAGAATAATCAAAAGGCATTACAGAGATGGATTTTATCTGTGGGAATTTCCCTTTGTTTTCTATGAGCAAACAAATACAAGCAAACACTAAGAGGCTTAAATCAACTGAGCCATTTATTCAACACTCCTTTTCTGCAGGCGATGTAGTCATATTCCCACAGCTGTTCTCTTGACTCATTGTGAAATAAAATCCTGAGTCCTCTTTGTCACTGAGACAAGACTGAGTACAAATGTAGTTAAGTCAGAGAAGAGACTAAAGTACTGTTTCCAAGGAGCAGTACTGTTCAGTTCAGTTCGGTATGCTTTTTATTCACTGTGAAAAGTTGTGGATGGTACCAATGGAACTGTTGTGTACCGTCCCCATTTTTGGTCCCCCCTCTGTTGGGGTACCTAGCACACAGATCTGGTACTAAAAGGTGGAGCTGTGAACACTGCAGTCTGTTGATTGGTCAATAGAGGACGGTCACTCTGCTCAGGGCTGAGTTGTGGCTGGTTTTGAGGCTCATGTAACCACTGTTCACACTGTGGAGGGTTTTATTAGTAAACTGTAACTATAAAATGAAAGGATGTTTTGCTGCCTCTTGCAGCAGCTGGAGTCTGAGCAAAAATAACTTAATTCACAGAGCTGAAAGCCAGCGACTTTTAAGGTGGAACATTTGTTACTCAATACATAAGCTGATTACGTGAACACCATTGACACACCTTATATTTCACTCTAATAACTTTGACCATTACTTTAGTTTGTATATGACATATACTTTTAGTAATGAGTGGAGAAAAACAAAGCATCGTGGAGCGTAGTTCCTGTGGGCTCCGGCAACACTAAACCCCTGAGCTTGCCTGTGAAAGACTAAATGCACAAACATGCTATTTTTTAATATCCCATCTCGACAGACTCTCACTGCAGCCTGTTTTATTTTGTTCTGAAAATGTCGGCATGCAGCCTCGTTCTGTGGACGATAAACGAGGCGCAGACTTGCATCTGTGTCATCAATAACTAGGAAATACAGTGAGTGCTGCACGGAGCAGCGAGTGACAACAACCCCACCCACATGAAAGAGTGCTGTTTGTGGTGGAAACGCTATTGTCTAGGTACCATGTCTGAAGGGTTACTGTTGGTTCCAAAGGTACCATGCTGAAAGTGTTTGGTGGAAACTGGGCTTAAGTCCTTCAGAAAGCAATCTTGAGACCAAGACCGATCTCAAGTACTGCAAAACAGCTACCACGAGACCCAAGAAAATCTCTCAAGAACCTCTACAGTAAGAAAACAGAACTTTCTTTTTGGAGAAGCTGCAGGAGGGTAAAAGTGGAGAAATGTTATGACACAGAGGCTGAATATCTCTCAGTTTTCATGATGTATTCCAAAAGCTCTTTTTCTTTAAAGGGACATTAAGGACTTGCTGGTGTCATTCATCATACAAGCCACAGAAGGTTATTCAGGCTCAAAATGATTTCTAAATGGCATCCCTAGGTGATGGTGAGTGGGAGTGTATTATGCAGCAGGCATTGACCTACCACAAGTAGTAAAAATGTACAGGCGTCTGTTCCAGTTCTTCACTTTTTCTGCATCCACAATGAAAAGGAAATGACTCGAACATGCGGAGGCAGCTTCTCCAACAGCGTTAATAAGACAAGCAAAATGGTAAATTGGTCTATATTGTTCCCTAATCACATGCAGGGTGATCTCACCTGGACAAGAACTTAGTTTGCAGATAAGAACTGTCTCCGGCTTCTCGCCCTCACATTCTCCGAGGGTGTTGTCGCTGGCCTTGCAAACCACCTGCCTTTGCTGAATCCCTTCGCCACAGGTCACTGAACACTGCCACGCCACCAACACACACAAATACACAAACACAAACGAGTTAAAACAATAGCAACTGTAGTGACACTTTACTTCAGAATGATGAAATGATTAGTGACACGTCAGAGCCTATCGCATACACTAATTAAATCTTGACACATGGATCCAAGAGAGTTCACTTGTGTTAGAACATTAAGACTGATATGACATGTCACTGTAAACAGAGTCAGGTTGAGAGTCAGTTAAGTAAACAATTCTTTTGTTTATTGCATGTTTATGTCAGTTTTCATGTTATACAATATTCACACCTAGAACTAATAAAGTGCTGCTATCATTCTATATTGTTAAACTTGTCATAAGATCATTGCTATGCTATGAAAATTTGCAAAGGTGTTACTCTACCAGTCTTCCATTAAGTTAATACTGACTGAATTTGAGACCAGGACTAAGGATGCTTTCAGACCTAGAGTTGTCTCGCTTTGGTCTGTATCAGGGACTAATTTTGTTACAAAGTTGTATAATTGCCTAGAGTTGGTTCGTGTTGTCAAAGCAGCATTTACAAGCGGACCAGATAAAATACTTTGTGCGAGAAAGTTCCACCTCTTCAAGAAGGTCTTGGTCCGGTTGCTTTGGTGCGCACATGTGTGATTGCTGTGTTCACACCTGCCCAAACGAACTGCACTTAGAGGGCAAACAATTCACCAGCTGGTCGTAAATCCATCGCTAAGTTTGTGTGTAAAGTCCTTCCTAATTTAAAGCAACTAGCAAGTTTCAAACTCGTGAAAGCTGTTCTACTAAATAAGGTTGCAGCATTAAAACTTAAGCAACATCTTGGTGACCGAGGCAGAGCCGGGGAGTGGCCCTTGGAGCCCCAGATGTTTTCTCAAAAGTCCCAAATCTTTACTATTCCCTTAAGAAATCTAATATAATTGATCAAATTTTCTATTCAGAGTATTGAAGACAATATTTACTTTGCATTGCTGGGGATCCTTGATTCGCAGTTAGAGCAGCTCAGAAGATCATGGCGTGGATTTAAATGCGTGGATTTGTCAGCTTAACACTCTGTGAACTCTACTCCAGCAGAGTGTAACAAAAATAGGTTTAAAGATTGTTAAGATTGTTTATGCCAAATTCCTACCCTACCTATGTAACTAAAAGGTCTAGTGGGTAGGATTTAGTGGCATCTAGTGGTAAGGTTGCAGACTGCAACCAACTGATACAACATGTACTAAGCATGTGGAGGAACTATGACCGCTTAGAAGGAAGTGCATCTACTGCTAGCTCCCCTGGCATCACTGATATAGCTAGGGTTACAGCTCAGCCGAGGAGGATGTCAATAATGTTTTTATCTCGCGCTGTCATGAGCACGAGCCTCTCATCATAAGTACGTGCACGCTCTCTTCTGCGTGGTGATGCAATTGGTGGGTGTAGTTTGGTAGAAAGAAAATAGTTCCTACATGAAACTGCTCACAACCAGGTCTGTGGATTATTTTGAGTAACCAGGTCGTGATTTCTGTAAAGAGACATTGCTGTTGACACTTTGAGCACCACAAGCTGAGTTCAATCTAGTTCCATTTTATTCGAGAGAAGGCAGACACACACCAAAACAATCTGATAAATAGCACCACAGGTACAAGGAAAAATATGTATTTTTGATCTTGGGGTGAACTGTCCCTTTAAATCTTCACTTGGTAAACATTTACAGCGAGCTTAAGTTTGAACTTGCTGATACAGCTGGCTGTCATCTGGACTCACCTGAGACCACGCCCCTGTCCTCCACTGGGCAGGGCATATGGTGTGGTTACAGGCCCTCCTTATCTCCGGCCGGTCCTCGAGGCAGTGTTTGCTGTGGACGGGCCTGTTGGTGCCGTTGTGGAGCGCCTGCATGCACTGCACCACTCTGGTTTGATAACCAAGTTTCCCGCAGGTCTTACTGCAGGGACTCCACTCCTCCACCACCCACCTGTCAACACAGCAGGCTCTTTGAAAAAAGGCTTTCATGCCACACAGCAATTACATTTTCCTCTGCTTATCGAATGGTCCAGAATTGAACATATGGAGGCAAAGCCATTAAAGTTTTAATGCTGCACTAGACTGAAAATATAGCCCTCTATAGCTGGGGGACACTTACGTGGGCTGGCTGCATTCTTGAACATTGCAGCGTTTGCGGATGGGTTTGGGCTTTTTGCTGGTTTCACAAAAGTTTCGATGCACCAAACGGCTGTCACTCTTCCTCCTGCATCCATATTTTGTGTACTGGATGCCTGAAGGATGGAAAGCGTACAAAATCAATCTTCCAGCATGCTTATACAGACATATAGTACAGTTACATACATAAATCTATCATCCATCTCTTTAAAAACTGGGGCTACAACTTTACTGATTACTGATTGACCTTTTTGTTAATTACTGTATTTATTATTTCGTGTAAATGTCAGGAAATAGTTCAAAAATGCCCATTTCAACTTCCTGGAGTCCAATGTGATTTTAATTTTGGCTTTTAAATTGAGTGTTTTGTCTGTCCAACGAGAAAAATTCATAAGATATTTCCTTTATAATGACTAAAAACAGAGAAGAACGATTCATTTTCAAAACATTTTCTATGAATCCACTGATAGAGTCATTCAGTCAGTAACCATGTCTGCTGTAGACCAACAAGAGCGTGGTGGAAATAACCTCACCAACACTAGAATAGATTCATCTTTGCGGTTTTCTGAACACATACTGAGCTTTGACTCCAGCTCCAGCTTTAATTGCTTGTGATTCAAACATACACTTACTGACCTCCCCCACAGGGTTTGGAGCACTGAGACCAGCTCTTCAGTGCCCATTCATAGGTATCCAGTTCAGCCAGAAGGACATTGTTGTTCATTATAAGCGGTAAAAGGTCCTCATGTATGATGTACTTATACGTTAGGCTGATCTTCGTGTCCTCTTCCTGGGGTATGACCTGCAACAAGGTGAAGAAAGTTTTTTTTAAAAAAAACCAATGAAACTCTGGAAAAAGAAAATAGTGATGATTTTGTATCCGTCCCCCTTGAGCCCAGTTGCTGAAAAAAACCCATTGACATCTATTGTACATATCTGAGAAACAGATACATAACATTAATTTGTTCCATAGTATCATATCAATGTTTCTGAAGTAACTGTATGAGCATCAGGAGAGGGGTAAGGGAGATGGTTAATGGCCTGAGGCCTACAAGATACGACCCCTGAGAAGCACTTTAGAGACCAGCTGCACTTTTTAATGACACGTCCGCCCATTTAAAGCAGTTTTTGTGCCGACAACAACTGGGTACTTTTTTAGGCAACAGCAGCACATTTGGGAACTGCCCACTGGTTCGACATCCCATTGTTCCGACCATATTAAACCCATTGTTCCGAAGTCCGTTCCGAAATCATCATGATGCCCTGTGGTTAAGGTCTGGTTAGGTTTAGGCACAAAAACCACTTGGTTAGGGTCAGGAAAAGATCATGGTGTGTGTTAAAAAGAAAAAGAAAGTGACAAACACATAAACCATGAGCCTGCTCCGCCTCAAGCCGGTCGCGGTGCACCATACGCCCGCCGTTCAGCACCGCGAACAGTCGGACTAATGGGATGTCGAACCAATGGGCTGTCGAACCAATGACATGGACCCGCACATTTCACGTGGTAGTTGTGGAAACTGAGAGATTTTTAAGGCAATGTTGGGACATTTCCAAGCAGGCAACAGCAGACCACCGTTCGAGACCAGCCGTGTTTTTTAACGATGTGTAGTGACATCTCCAGTCAAGTCTGTGGCGACCACAACAAGGTATTTTTAAGGTATGTATTTTTTATTTTTAACATCAGCACAAAGATGGTTGCCAAGCAGGCCAGGAGTTTCTAGCGGCGGTTGTGGCAGCAACAACTGGGCATTTTTTAAGGTGATGTCTGCACATTTCCAACACTGGTTACGGTGACAAAAAACGGGTATTTTCAAAGCCAACGTCAGCACATTTCTGGTGGCGATGAGACGGCTGTCAAGCAGGCCTGCAGCAGACCACTGTTTGTAGACCAGCTGTGTTTTTTAATGTTATCTAATGACATTAGATGTCAGTGGTTATGGCGACAACAATCGGGTATTTTCTTAAGCCAACACCAGCAAATTTCTAGCAGTGGTTACTGTGACAACAACCAGGTATTTTTTAAGCCAACGTCAGCACATTTCTAGCAGTGTAGGTGCCTATAACAATTGGGTATTTCTTAAGCCGAAGCTGGCACATTACTAGCAGTGTATGTGGCAACAACAACCAAGTATTTTTTAAGCCAACGCCAGCCCATTTCTAGCAGCGTATGTGGCGACAACCAAGTATTTTTTAAGCCAACGTCAGCACATTTCTAGCAGTGTATGTGGCGACAACAATTGGGTATTTCTTAAGCCAAAGCTGGCACATTTCTAGCAGTGTATGTGGCAACAACAACCAAGTATTTTTTAAGCCAACGCCAGCCCATTTCTAGCAGTGGTTGTGGCAAAAACCAGGTATTTTCTGAGCCAACGTCAGCACATTTCCAGCTTGACGAGATGGCTGTCAAGCAGGCCTGCAGCAGACCACTGTTTGTAGCCCAGCCGTGTTTTTAAATGTCACTTCATGACATTTCTAGCAGTGAATGTGGCGACAACAACTAGGTATTTTGTAAGCCAATGCTGGCACATTTCTGGTGGTAGTTGTGGCAACAACAACCGGGTATTTTTTAAGGCTATGTCTGCACATTTCCAACATTGGTTGTAGCAATAACAACTAGGTATTTTTTAAGGTGATGTCTGCACATTTCCAGCAGTGGTTACTGTGACAACAACCAGGTATTTTCTGACCCAACTTCAGCTATTTTCTAAGCCAATGCTGGCACATTTCTAGCGGTGGTTGTTGCAACAACAACCAGGTATTTTTTAAGGTGATGTTTACACATTTCCAGCAGTGGTTACTGTGACAACAACCAGGTATTTTGTAAGTCAATGTCAGCATATTTTCAGTGGTGACAGGACAGCTATCAGGCAGGCCAGTAGCAGACCACTGTTTGAGACCAGCCATGATTTTGAATGTCACCACATGACATTTCTGGCATTGGTTATAGCAATAACAACCGGGTATTTTTCAAGCCAATGCCAAACATTCGAGGTGATATTTGCACATTTCCAGCAGTGGTTGTGGTGATAACATTTAGGCATTTTTTAAGCCAACGTCAGCACATCTTCAACAGTGACGTGACAGCTCTCAAGCAGGCCAGCAGCAGACCACTGTCTGAGACCAGCCAGGTTTTGTAACGTCATTCTGTGATATTTCCAACGTTGGTTGTGCTGACAACAACTGCATATTTTTGAGGGGACGTTGGTACAATTTCAGTGGTGGCTGTGGTGGCAATAAACCAAATTTCATTTTAAACCAAAACATGATGTTTTCCTAACCATAACTGAATGTTTTTTGTGTTTAAACCTAACCACACCTTAACCACAGCGTTGTAACAACATTAATTTGAAGATAAAGAACGTCAAGTTTCAACATATTGGCTACATACAAAACAGACACATAAATGTAACATATCAGTGGTTTACAGAAACATACAACGCCACTCACCAGCACTACAATGCCTTCATGCAGAGGACCAGTTGTCTTCAGCATCTCCTTCCCACCATCGTTGGAATACTCCCACTGTAAACCGTTTTCGATGAAGGTCTTTGTTTCAGCTTCTTCACTTTTTGCATTCAGTATGAAGTTTCCAGTAACTTGATTCTTCACAGCTGTCAGTAATGAGTGAAAAAAAGTTTTTTTAATGCATGTGTGTAGGGGAAAGACTGCGGGCACATTATGTAGTTTTTCATTCATTAAAAATCTAAAAAACTGAAAAGAAATTCATGATCAACCCCTTCCCCACCAAACTACTCTGAGATTTTCCTTTAGGCAGGGGACGTGTCAGTATGTATTCTGAGATGTTTGGCTCTGTGGTTAGCCAACGGTAATTTCTCCAAGTTGTGTGTCATCCCTTCTTCCCATGAGCTAATAAAAGCCAGAGAGGAAAAGAGTGGAGAGGGGAGGGAGGGCGATCCTGACTCACCACTGTCAGCCGCACAGAGAGCTATTGTAAGCTGAAAGATACAAGTCTGTTATATCTTTTCATACCTGAATACATTTTAGAGCTTTGTTCTCATTACTTCACACATATCAAATTGCAAATTGCATTTGCAGATAAAGTCTACTCATCTACATTCAGCTCAAATGGAAAGTCACTAATGAATGAGAAAGCTATTTTTCCTTTCAAATCAGCACAATAGCACCTGCGATGTGCAATAATTGCACTGACTATAATAATTCACCAGGAGCGATGATATAGACTCCAGCTTCTCAGGAAAACAGTGGTATTTGCTTTTGTCTGTCAGATTTTCAGAGTTGAAAATAAAGGTTCTCACATTGATGCTGTTTGTTAGATGCCACGCTAATTAATTTCTTGTTCTCAGTAAAAAAGCTGTTAGGGAAAAAAAAGTTCTTACAGAGCTTCAGGCACAAGGCACTGTGAATTCCTCACTTTACAACTAACTACTACATCAGTGTCAAATTCAGACGTGAGAACACAGCTGGTGATTGACAATCGCAGACCTTTTCTGCATGAAAACTTCATCTTGCACTGATCGGCGCAGCGAGGGTGATTTTGACAAGATGAAACGAAGGATGTGGGACACACTCACCAATTATATGAGGGGAAGTGTCGTTCTCTTCGATCACAATGTGGCGGGCTCCTATTGGAATGTCGAACATCTTCAGCATTCCTAACAAGACAAAGAGACATGGCACGGTTAAGCTGGGAGCCTTACGCAGCAGGCACTTATTCTGGGCTGTAATAGCAGCCAATTATTTCTGAATCAAGACAGAAGGTTTTGATCCTTTGTTTGATGACAGTGCGGGATACCAGCTGTGGTCAAATATAGAAGATTGGGAACATGCATGAGGCCTCTGGACTTTGAGTTTAACCTCTTCCAGTACTCCAGGATGACATTACTGTATTTCAGAAGCTGAGTTTTAAAACTAGCAAGAAGATACTGGTATCATTTCAAACAAAAAGACCTAAGGAATCCGTTAGTACCAACAACTTAATGCTTGCTTTTCAGGAAGGAGGTTATTTATGACTACAAAACTAGACACACAGTGCTGAGGGAATACACTGTTGACATGCTATGTCCCCCTAAGGATCCCCTGCCCCCCCCCCCCTTTAAAGACAAAAACGGGTCTATGGTAGGGAGGGGCAGAGTGAAAGAGTGTAAATGATGACAGTTGCTGATTCAGCACAGGCCTGAGCGTCCACGTAGCTGATAATTACCATTCTTTTTGGGTGTCTTTGTGAGCGTCAGCTTCACGGTGCGACAGTGGGAGTTGTCCCCCTCACACACTCCGCATTTGTCCTCTTGTTTGTAAGAGCCGACCTCCTTGTCGCAGCCTACATGCTGTGAAAGGAAAGGCAAAGACAGTCAATCAAACCAGGGCAACACTGTGCCTGACTTTCATGTAGACTGAGATTACTCCACTGGGAAAATGATGCCATGGGAAAATGCTGCATGCATCTGGTTTGGAGGTTTAGGATGATGCATATTGGAAACACACCCAGACATAACAGGAATGTAGTCAAAATACGAGCAGCTGGCCTGAAAAAATAGAAGTCTCAACTTTATGCCCAAGGTGAATAATGAGACAAAATAATGTCTGTGTGTGTTAGAGCAGAACGCAGAAATGTACAGTCATTGAATTTCTGCATAACTCTCTCTAAGGGCACTATTTTAATCATCAAAATACACTTTAGTAAAGGTTCAGGCACAAAGGGAAAATGACACTTCCAAACCCAGCTTGCCAGGTGATGTTTATTATGACATATTCTTCCTGTTAAGCCCTGTTTCCACCAAACACTTTCAGTATGGTACCTTTGAAACCAAAAGTAATCCTTCAGACATGGTACCTAGACCCTAGTGTTTCCACTGCAAACAGTACTCTTAAATGTGGGCGGGGTTGTTGTCACTCACTGCTCCGTCCAGCACTCACTGTATTTCCTCACTACTGGTGACACAGAGGGAAGTCTGCACCTCAAGCCGACATTGTCATAACAAAACAGAACAGGATGCAGTGAGAGTCTGTCGTGATGGGATATCAAAAAATAGCATGTTTGTGCATTTAGTCCTTCTCAGGCAAGCTCAGGGGTTTAGTGTTGCCGGAGCCCACAGGAACAACGCTCTACGATGCTTTTTTCTCCACTTATTCCTAAAAGTATATGTCATATACAAACTAAAGTAATGGTCAAAGTTATTAGAGTGAAACATACGGTGTGTCGATGGTGTTCACGTAATCAACTTATGTATTGAGTAATACCTTGTTTATCATCTGCAATACGAGGCTGCACATTGACATTTTCAGAACAAAATAAAACAGGCTGCAGTGAGAGTCTCTCTCTATGGGATATTTAAAAATAGAGGGTTTGTGTATTTAGTCCTTTTAAAGCAAGCTCAGGGGTTTAGTGTTGTTTGAGCCCACAGGAACAACGCTCCACGACGCTTTTTTTTTCTCTGAGTGAGGATTAGAATATATGCCGTCCCAGTCGAAATTAACATATATAAACACTGCAGATAACACAGTGTTCACAGCTCCACCTTTTAGTACCAGATCTGTGTGTTAGGTACCCCAACAGAGGGGGGACCAAAAATGGGGACAGTATGGAACGGTTTTATTGGTACCATCCACAACTTGTCACAGTGGAAACAGAAAAAAAGCGTACTGAACTGAACCGTACCGCTCGGTGGAAACAGGGCTTGAGTATCCCCCCTTCTTTCAAAAGCTTTTTTAAAGTACAAAAATCATCAGATTCTGGCTGAGAATGTGATTTTAGCTGCTGGTTTTGCTCTGATATACTCCAGGAAATGCCACAAAAGAGCAGCATATTTAGAACTATTCTGACAGAATTTAGCATAATGATCAGCTAAGTTATTTTATAAGATTTTGTTTTAGTTATCATAGTCCCTAAATGGAAGTAAAAATATTTTTTTTCTGGGAAAGGAATCTCCAGACACCCCATTTTATCGTGCACATTTCTTAAACCAAAGTTCCCCCCTTGAAAATAAGCCCATAAAATTGTCCTCTGTCCTGCCCCCTCTCTGCTGATGTGATTCAGTGTGTGCAGGTAACATCAGTGCCGGTGCTGTTTGTCTCAGCCAGCAGCTAAGTTTGAAACTATCTGCCCAATTTTAAGATTTTAAGAAGCTCAGTTAGTCTGTACACAGACAGCTGTATCTGTAACAATTTGCAATTCATTGAACTAGCGTGCTGTCCTTGTGTAAAACACAATGTTAGTGGCAGTGGATGAGAGACTGTGGACAGAGCAGAATGAAATATTGATGTTTACATGTTCATGCTTGCTAAACACATGTACTGATAAAGAACTGGCTACTTACTCACAAGGTTTAACTGCACTTACAGTGACGAGCTTAGCTGCCGTCAGCTCGTTAATTGTTTTTGGGAAAACAAAAAAAAACAACAACATTTTAGCTTATTCATTCTAAAAGGCGCTGTATGTAAGAATGTGGCCAAAACGGTTACTGCGCTCAAATTCAAAATACTGCCGCGAGTCGTGTCCGTCCCCCCATCCCCTACAGATTCGAGGTTGCTGGACAGCGGCATGCTGGAGACTGATTTGTTTGCCCACAGACTGCTGCCGTGGCAGGGCCGCGTCGCCGTGTCCTTGATCTTCGGTTTTCCAGCGGACCGTTGGAACAAGTCCGGCTTCTCTGCTGCTAACACTGCTGCTGGGATACAGCTGAGGAGGAGCCGGCTGCTAATGCTATGTACCGGCACACTGCTAATGCTGCTGCCGGGATACAGCTCATGGGGAGCCAGCTGCTAATGCTATGTACCGGGACACTGCTAATGCTGCTGCCGGGATACAGCTCATGGGGAGCCGGCTGCTAATGCTATGTACCGGGACACTGCTAACGCTGCTGCCGGGATACAGCTCATGGGGAGCCAGCTGCTAATGCTATGTACCGGGACACTGCTAATGCTGCTTGCCGTGCTGCTGTAGCTCAGTCGTAACTGTAACTGATGCTGAGATGATCTGTGGACCGTAAAATTTTTTTTTAAAATGCGAATATTCTGGCTGTACTATTGTTGTCGGTGAGATCAGTATGTTATATGAACATTATTCCTTAGTCTCTGTGACATATCAAGAGGATTTTACGACTATTTGCTTCGGATTTCTTACATATAGCTCCTTTAATTGTTATATACTGCAGTGTTTGTTCTTTTGTTTTTGTTGTATGTATGGATATCCTTCTCTGTTTTCTATGTCTTTATGTCGAGGTGTAGTTTATGTTGGTTGGCTTTGTCTGTTTATATTTGTATGTGCTTTATTTGAAAAATCTAATAAAAAGAAAAGAAAACAAAAGAACCGGTTAAAAGAACCAATGAAATCGGCGCTTGTTCATACTATGGTCTTTGATAATGTAGCCCCAGGGCTCGTTTAATACCGGGTTTCAGTGCCCATCGCTACCGGTTAAAGAAGGGCAAATTTAGGTGGGCAATGCCAAATGTGACTCACACGAAAAGCTAGCTTGCTAGCTAATGTTAGCTACTTTGCTAGAAAGTAACACTAAATGTGATGTTACTGGTACATTTTCCTTTTCAGTTGTTTTCAATATCATACAATATCAGCTGGTTAAACATCAATGTCTCCTCTGTCACACTGGGTCAACCATACATACTTCTTTGCCTTGGTTTGAGGCTGCAACTTTGCCAGTCAAAGTTCACCACAGTTGAATTCCACGCATTTCGAAGATGCAAATGTTTTATTTGCTCCTTTGCTCGCATTGAATGGAAGTGAATGGGAAATTAATATTTGCCGATGTTAATTCTTGCATGTGTGACTGTGCTCTGAAACATGCATAGAATTTACTGTAGAAGGCAACACCACATGTTTAATTAATGATTGATTTTGTAGCATTTTCCTATTGCCTTTATTGAATTTATCAAGAGGGCAAAGAGTCAGGCTGACTAACCACACTGGACTGCTTCTTTGCATTAGACTGTACACTACACATCCATCTGCCAGGACACTATGTCGACCCTTCCTGACTACCCGTGGTCTTTACCCCATGGATGCTATCCATTAGTTTTACATACCAGACACTCTCCTCTGGCGCACACGCTGAAGGGCTCTGAGTAACTGCAGCGGGTCCCATCGTGCATCACCTGGTTCATGAACACCACCTCTCCTGTTTCCTTTGACTTACAGCTCAGCTCACACTTACGGGCCTCTGAAAACACACACACACGCACACAGCTTGGTTCATGCAAATGTATTCAGAATCAGAGAAAAACATCAGAAGACACAGAGGGGAGATAACACCCACCTGAACCTATATATGCGTGAGAGCAGATGCTTCTGCAAATGTAATCTGTCCACTTAAGCTTTGAAAGAGAGAGCCAACTTTGCTTCGCTCTTTACAGACTTACCATCTGGGTGCTCGTACGGTAGCCAGGTGTGCTTGATGTTTTTGTGGTATTTGTTGCTCCTCTGGACGCACTGCTGAGCACGGAAGTCCTCGTAAGGGCCAGCACACTCCTCTGTGTTGCACATCTGGTAGTCAAAGGCAGAGCCGGGGCAATCTCGCCCACCGTAGGCAGGCCTGATGTATGAATGACAAAAACAAAAAAATGTCCTTAAAGATGTTTTCCAGCTTGATGTTCCCAAAGATCCAAAAGTTTTCATTCTTAGTATGATTCCAGGAGGTTCTGAAAGAAAGGCTGGATTGAAAAAGTAAAGGAACTTTAGCTATGGAGCCAATAACGTGGATTAAAGGTCTCAAACAAATTTATCAAGTGGTGGAGTCCTAAAATGACCCTTTCAATCCTTTCTATACTCTCTTAAACTACTTATATGTCATACATCTTATAATTGACAATTCTCCGTTCATTATTTTATGAGACACCTCTCTTTTTAGGTAGAGGTAAGGAGGGGCTGAGTTACTTAATGCAATTAGGTCCCTGAATTTTATGGGCAGCTGGAAACTGACAAGAAAAACTAACTAAAACATTAAACTGTATTTAATTGGACTAGAATGATCAGATGTTTGGATGTGGGTGACAAATGAACAACACTGGGAGCAACATTTCAGTTTGTAGTGTGGTAGTGTGATGTTGATGATACACCCCTAGAATAATGACTTCTTCTTTTCCAAACAGGGCATCAGTGTTTCTGTTGGCTGACTGTACATCTTCATAGAGCAGTGGTGTGGTGGTCACTTATGACGTAGGTGTACTACTAGGTAGATGGGTAGGTTAGAAAGGAGGAAGTGGGTATACTCTTCTATATATTTCAGTGGCTTTTTGGCTGATAGGTGGGTACACTGTAAACGGACAGAAAAAGAGGTGGGTATACCCCGTGCACCTGCCTATACCCTCCACTAACCATTAGCAAAGGGAGAAGTTTTACAAATGTGGACTGACTTTAACAATAAAATGCGCTAAATGAAGTGAAAACGTCATCATATAAAACTTAAAGAGGACCTATTATGCTCATTTTCAGGTTCATACTTGTATTCTGGGTTTTATACTAGACATTTTTTATAAGCTTTAATGTTCAAAATATACTCAATTTTCCTCACTGTCTGTGCTGGAATACCTGTATTCACCCTCTGTCTGAGAGGCTTCATTTAGTGCCTGCCTCTTCAAGCCTCCATCCTGAAAAAAGCCCAGTCTGCTCCAATTGTTCAGCATTTCCAGGTCCTCTGCATGTGCATTTTTAGTGTCTCTGCACCATCATTGCACCTGGTGGATGGATTTTAAAAGGGTATAGTGCCACTTTCTATGGTGAAAAATCACTAATAAAAGCTTCTACACCAAAATATTTACAACCAAACATGTTCCAGTGGGAATATGATCAAAAACTTGGGAGGAATGAACAACTTTGGCAACCAATATTCCTCTGACATTAGCATGTAGCAGTATACTTGGAGCCCTGGAAAGACTGTAAAGGAATATAGCGCCACCTTCTACAGTGAAAAATTACCACTAGAAGCTTCTAAACCATAGACTGTATATTAAGATGGACGACATGACAGCTCCCCACAAGTAAAGCCACAACATCTCTATCGCCTCCTGGTGGCTGGCTGCAGTACAGGTCAAAAAGTGCGCCCTCTCCATGTTAGTGGATGGGACATGTGCCAAACTAAAAACTCAAAGTACACATCAAATACATTCTCCCCAAAGATGGTCTTCTGTTTCTTAGTTTGTAGCTATAGTACATGTAGCAATATACTTGTAGCTAAGGAATGACCATGACAGTATGGCCGCAATTTCTACTATTAAACATCACCATTGAAATCTTTTATACCACAATATTTATAATCAGATATGTTCCAGCAGGAATATGATCATAAATCTCAGAAATTAGTAATATCAGCAATCAAGATTACATGTTCTCCTGATGTTAGCATGTAGCTACATGTAGCAGTGTACTTACAGCCGAGGAATGACCATAACAGAGTACAGCGGCATTTTTGACCATGAAAAATCCCCAATAAAAGCTTACAAACCAAAATCTTCACAACCAGACATGTCCGAGCAGGAATATGAAATCAAGGAGAAATTAACAATATCAGCAACCAAGATTACATTTCCCTGATGTTAGCATGTAGCTACATGTAGCAGTGTAGGTTATGTAATGTGCCTCGAGTATTCAGAACGGTCTGAAGCCAGAGGTTTTTACTTTTTAATACTCCTTATTACTCCTACATACGTTTATCTCATTATTTGAAACTTTGGCCATGTTTAATACGAACTTCCGACACTGTAACATCTTACTGTGTATATGACAGAAAAAAAGGAAAAGCATTATAGGTCCCCTTTAAAATAATCATTAAGTTTTTGCTTTGTTTTGGCTCTTCAGTTCTGCTTTCACACTTTTACAGAACGTCATAATCAGTTGGATAAAAACACAGAGTGTATGAACTATTTGGCTGCTGAAAAAGTAGTAGCTATCTATTTCTCGCCATGGCACTCACGGAGGGTTATTGCACTGTCTGCTGCGGGAGCGAATTCCACCTCCACATGTTCTGGAGCAAGAGCTCAACTTTGACCAGGACCCCCAATTCCCATCATGGCCCTGAGGCTCCTGGCTGGATCTCCAGATGCAATGGCCCTTAAAGCACCACTAAAAATATGACAAAGACAAGAGAAAAGACACGCTGGGACAGAAAGAAAGGTCAAAATGTCTAGACTAATGATGTTGGCATTTGAAACCATTTCAGGCTTTTTGGTTTCCTCTCTTTTTATCTCCACTAAGAGCTCCACCGCATGAAAATTATAATTTAGCTGATTCAGAGACATCTCCTACCTTCCCTGGTGCACACTCTGTTCCATCCACCGGAGGCCCTTTTTTCGTTTTACAAAAGTACTGGTTGTCAGGATGACTGCACCACAGTTGCTTGCAAGGGTCATAAGTTCGAAACTAAAAGAGAAAACAGTAATTTTGAACATTAGTTACTCTTTTTTGGCAATGCAAACAAGCTCATTCATTCAACTTCTTCATGCCTCAGGAGGAAAACTAACCCTTACTGTACACCACTGTCACATTTGGCTAAATTTAAGATGTGTTTGATTGTTTTAAACTGCCCTGCTATAGCAGCATGTGTCTCTCAAAACAGTTTTGACGTATAGCCATGTTTCCATCAGCCTGTTTAGATGCGTATTTAGAAGCATCGCATCAGAAAATTATGATGGAAATGCCAGAATTCGAATTAAAATCCCCTGATATGCACAAACTAAAAAACGCTTGCTTTAGCCGGGTTTTGGTTCATTTGAAAAAATGCTGATTCGCAAAACGGGGGATGGAAACAGTTATGTTCGAATTAAGTCTGACGTAGCGCACTTCTCTCCATGGTGATATCCACACTCCAGGTCAGGAATGCATTTACAAGCTAGTTGCCAACTGCCAGAAAACGTAGAAGAAGAAGAATGCAAGAATTGTTTTGTTTCCGGTTCTGCAGAAAACTCACGCGAGTTCGTAGTTTTCACCAAAGTCCGTACATTTAATGGAAACACACAGGATTCGTATATCTTTTAATGCGCATTTTCCAATGACTCGAATCACTTTTGGATGGAAAGATATTTCCAAGTGTAACTTAACTGTGTTTATGGGTTTATATATTCTGTATTTGTACTGTCTTAACATATCATATTATCTGTTGTGTTGCATCAAAGGTCCAGTGTGTATAATTAAGGGGGATATATCGGCAAAAATGGAATATAACAAGTATGTTTTCTTCAGTGTATAATCATCTGACATAAGAATCATCGTGTTTTTTCACCTAACAATGAGCCCTTTATATCTAGAGTGTCAGAAAACACTGATTTTTTAACATGAAACTGCTTTATTCAGAGTTTTTACCAGTTTAAATCACTGGGTGTGTTTGTTTTGGAGAGGAAGAGACCTCTGTGGATAAAATGGCACCCAGTAAAACCTCCTCAACAATGAACACTGTTGGAATTCTAACCACAAAAACTTTCATTCTCACCACTAGATGCCACTAAATCCCCCTAAATCTTACACACCGCTCCTTTAAAGAGATAGCTGGGATTCTTGTGTAAGTGTATGAGGTACTTATCCAAACTGAGTGTATTACCTACAGTAGATGGCAGACAGCACACCCCCAGTTTGGAGAAGCAGACATGACGGAGGCTGCAACAACATATTTAAGCCACCTGAAAAAGTCCCCCCTAAAAAAATCTGTATCAGTTTAAGAGTGCGCTATATTTAGAATATTTTCACCACTTTACCTTGTAGTTAGACAGCCCTTCTGATGGGGAATGACTATAGTCTTTTCAAAGTCACCAGACTCCTTTGGCAAAAGCAGTTCAGTCAGGAACGCCTTAGTCAAAGAAACTTTATTTCCATTAGCAGTATTATATTTGGAGGCATGGCTCTGTCCTGGGGCCCCTTTGCCTTTCCTCGGGCCTACAGAGAAAGCCTCTTTCATGCGCCTACATGGAAAGCAGAGAGAGTACACCTCTCCGCCCTTCCACGCGTTTGCATGGAAAACCTTTAGACAGACATAACACACTTCTCTGCCCTTCCATGCGCCTACATGGAAAGCCTAAGTTTAAATAGGGCGCCCTGAATGAGATTCACCAATTGGCTGCATAGAAAGGACTCGTGATCTATCAGCTGACTCCCTTCCATCAATCAGCTGCTCCATCTGTAGATTGGGCTGTCTGAGATCAGCTGGTGTAGCCGGGATGTAAGCTGAGCTTGACACTGTGTCCTGCCTGAATTAACGCTATGCTCAATTAATTTTACCTCACAGAATACAGAAGATGCTGGAATGCTAAATAACCTCTTATAACGCCAGTAAAACAATACCACAAACAAACTCACTGATCAAGGCAGCAGTAGACCAGGAGGTGCTGTGTTAAGTGAGGTCACATTTGTAAAATAACTGTTTTTGTCAAAGCAGTTTGGTGGCTTTGAAAAGAGCCATAAAACAGTCTGTCTAACAGCAAGGTAAAGTGGTGAAATTATTCTTAATACAGCGTATACTTACACTGACATTGATTTTTTTTTCCAAGTGGCTGAAATATGTTTTGCTGCTGCCCTCGTCCCCAGCAGTATATTACTTTGTTTCCATGGCAGTACTCCTGCCTGCTTCTCAATCCTGTGGGCTTGCTGACCACCATCTAGTTTAGGTAACACACTGACTGTGGATAAGTGCCTCATACAATCATCATTTTGGGGATTACACTAATGTGAAAGACTTACAGCGGTGCACATTTTATAACCAACACCAAAATCAAAGCGGCACTGCTCATCCATTGAGTAATTTATCCCGGGGAGCTCAGGAAGCTTGGGCCACTTGTGCTCAAAGGGATCATCCAGCAGGCAGTCGTAAGAGCTGAAGAGAAGATGGAAGAAATAGAGTCAGAACTGTGAGATCTTTGGAGACTAGACCAGACAAGGAGAAGGTTCAACCCAAAGAAAAACATGTAAGCTATGCTGTGTAAAACCAACATGAGGGGAGTGGCATAATTAGCACATACTGGATGTATCGATTGAGCTCCTGCTTGCTGCAACGTGACCAGTGATAGCGGTGGAAAGCTGCTTGGACGAGCGGAGCCATGATGCTGCCCATACTGGTCTCATCAGCACAACGATTCCCCTGGCCGTCGTGCTCCATGCCGAGCCTGATGGGACAGAAATAGGATTATTGAACAGGAGGAAAGCAGAGTAGAGGAGAATTAAGGGCAGGGTGGCAAACCTCAATACTTATTGATTAAATTATGTCCATTGAATAATGTATCAAAAACGCTCATGTAATGTTCGTCGGCCTCAATGCTTATTCTCACTCTTAGTACAATAACCTGTTCTTTGATCATATCATTCCTGATCTCAAAGCATAGATTTATTTTTAGATAATGTTCTTCTTCAGAGAAGTTTTGTATATTTTGCTGAATAAAAAAAGAGTTCAAAAGTGCCAAAAACAGATCAAAACTACAACAGTAATTGCCTTTTACAAAATACCTTTAGGCTCTGTGTGATGATTACTGTCATAGCATGCAGCAGGATATTGGGTCTCGGCGGTGCTACCAGCATTTGTCAGTGCTTTGTACTGAAATAAAGTGAAATGCTGTTTTGCTGAGCTCTCTATTAGCTACACAGCTTCACCCACCAACAGCTCTGTATTACTGAATCCCTCTTGAGCCTGGAACATCACATCTCATTAGCCACTGACACAGTGACAAGGCCTTATGGGAGCAGTGCTTATTAAAGGGACAGCTCACCCCAAAATCAAAAATACATATTTTCCTCTGACTTAAAGTGCTTCTAGTCTTGTAATTCATTAACTTTTATTGTTTTGGTTTGCGTTGCAGAGTGTTGGATGTCTGCTGTCTCTTGAATATAATGGAACGAGGTGGCACTCAGCTTGTGGTACTGAGTAGTTTCATGTAGGAACTATTTTCGTTCTACCAAACTACACCCACAAAACATCTCACTGCTCAGACGGAATGGCTGTCATGAGCACATGCCTGTCGCCATTGAGCAAATGTTTGCTTCCTTCTGCGCAGTAAGGGGCCGTACACATACCACATTTTTTTGCGCCGTCAATTGTTTTCAATGTAGACTTTCGGCACGCTGTTGTGATGTACATGCATTCCTGAGCGCCCATTTTTCAGGGCGCGATGGCTGCGCTCTGAGAATTCAACTTTTGAAAGCTGGCACAAAAAAGGCACAAGAGTAGCACCCAGCGCCTAACCTCGTGTTTTCTAAGTGGTTAAAGACGTGGCATGTGTACGGCCCCTGATACAGCCGGTGGCTATGGTTCAGTAGAAAGAAAATAGTTCCTACATGAAACTGCTCACAACAAGTCCTGTGGATTATCTTAAGTAACCGGGTCATGATTTCATTGCTGTTGAGTTTTTCAAATGCATTTCTTTATGGTTTGAGCACCACCTAGCACCATCTAGTTCAATTATAGACACTTCACACTTAACATAATCATTTCAAATGGGCTCTTGTATTTCCTGATGGTATGTTTCACAATGCAGTAGCTGACGGGAGGTAAACAGCGATTAAAGTTGCAACAGAATAGCAACAAAACAGTCTATAATCAAGAGATCTCTACGGCCGATATCTCCAACACTCTGCAACTGTCCCTTTAAATGCCAACAAAATAATTTTTTCCTTGACAACATGCCCATAAAATTGGTAGGTACTTGTGCATTTTCGTAAGTACATACAGAAAACCCCAGGATTATCCTTCAGCTGCTCACAGAGACCAATTAAAAAAATCCTTGATGAAAAAACAACAACACTGAGTTTCGGAAGCTGGTAGAACAGGAGAGGGGGCTGAATGCTGCAGGCATCTGTTTTTTTCTTTGTATTGACAATCAACTAAAATGTTGTGGACAGGGGATCAGGAAATAACATCCTGTAATCCTGAGTCCGATAACATGTGCATTCTAAAAGTCCAATCGATGAGCAATTAAGGCCTATTGCACAGATACTCAGTGACGGTTCACGCATGTATCATTAGGACGAAAACTGCTACTTGCCAACCCCAAGCATCTGTAGAAATAATTACTATAATTTAATGTTGCATTTTGTCTTCTTTTCTTTAGTACATTTTCTTTTTTTTTTATTATATTTCTCTTGTCTCGTTACGGTTCTTTTACTTGTACAGTATGTACTATATATTTAACTCTGAAGTGCCCTGACCTTATTGAAACTACATTTCAACTGCTCTTTTGCTGTTTTGTATGGATGTGAACATTGGCTTAAAGTGTCCTGAACATATTTTGAGACCCTCTGCAAAAGGCTTTCTTCCAAGGACCTCCAAACTAAACCTGGGCTCTTCAATCCGACGCAGTGTTTTTAGTAGTGTAGGATTTAGTCAGAGAAACACAGTCTGTGGTCTTATGTGAGATGGAGATCGGCTTTGTTACTGCATCAATACACATGGTGTAATGTGCCATGTAGTTATTACAGTTTTCATTTTTGTCTTAAATTTAGTTTCAATTAGTTTCCAGAGTTTGTTTGCTCATTTCAGTTTAGTTTTTATTGTTTGAAAATGTTTAGTTTCAGTTTAGTTTTTATTGGTGTCGGTATTATTGTGTTTTTGTTATAATATGGGGGTACTAATCAGGGGAAAGACGAATTTGACCAAATTTACAGAGACTAAAACTAAAGACATTTCCTGTATATTTTTATTTCAATTCAATTCAACTCAATAGAACTTTTTTATCCCAAAGGAAATTCTTGTGCCAGAGAATGCTTCAAATTACAGTAACACAAAGTACAGTAACAACAATTTCACAACCAGGAGCAACCACACAACCAAACCCGGGTAAGGGTCGCTCACTGGGCCCAGTTTCAGAACAACAGTATAATAGAGTATAAGTAGAATCTGGCAGAAAATACAAATATAGACAGACAGATGTGTTTTCAAGGAGTAGAAGCAAAAAACAGTGGCTAACAGAGTAAGACCCCGATCACACAGAAAGCGTTTTGCAGGTTGCAAAACGTGAGGCGCATAGCACTGCCTTTTTTTTTTAATTGAATGAACTGAATTGAATTGAATTTGTTTTTTTTTTTAATTTGCAGTAAGCAGGAGCTGATTCCTTAAATGTTGAGGCAGAAGGTGCTTGCTGTAGCTCAGGTTGAGGGTGAGAGGCTGACAGTAAATAGTTTGTTGGGCACAGGGAAACAGAGATCTGTGTGGGGACATGAGACCCTAAAAAAAGAGGGTGGATCATGGGGAGTACCACCAGTTGGTCCAGGAGCTTCTCCTCCATGATGGCCGCTCCCAGGCATATTTTAGGATGACTCAGGGGCAGTTTGACAACTTGCTGTCTATCGTCAGGCCGTATAGCTCTGGGTATCCAGCAACCACTACCACCCATTTCTCTTCCATTGTTCACCAACTGTAAACTTGTTGTCATGACCACCACAGAAGGCCCGCCTCTCAAATCATCCGATTGGACAATGGGAAAAAAAAGGTGATAAAAAAAGACATGATATGGGCTGCTTTTCCGCTCTGAGTTTAAGTTTTCTCAACTCAAGGAGCAATCCGGCAAATACACCAGACAACTAGACAGCAGAAACTTAATGGCCAAAGGTAGAAAAAAATCTCCTGTGGTGTTTTGTAGTGCTCCTCAGTGGTCTCAGTTTACGGCTGAATGTGCTCTGATAGGACTCCTGAGTGGCATGGAGGGGGTGAGAGGTGTCCAGAACACTGAGTAGTTTCCTCAGCATCCTGCTCTCTGACACCTCTACTAGAGACTCCAGTTACATTCCCAGGACAGAACCAGCTTAATATTCTACACGTAACCAAACATATTTCAGAAAAGGCTCGGTCGAATTGTATGGAAGCCCATTTCCACCAGTGTAATGACAAAAAAGATCCTGTTAGTCATTATAATAAGACACTTTATTCACTTTCAGATACTAACTCATTATTCTGAGTGTGGATGAAGATCGGCTTTGTAACTAGAAGTCTGCTAGAAGTTTGCGGCGTTGTATTTTTCTGCAGACACTCTGACTGTATTTTCTTGGTTTCTTCTTATTATCTTTGTTCTGGATGTTTACAGATGCGTACCCTCCACAGCGCTCAGGTGAGGTCGGGGCTTCGTAAAGAGATAGTAACCAGGTGTTGGACTGTAAGCAGCAGGCAGAACACGGTGCTTTAAAGGGTACCAACTGAATTACATTGGTGCTGCCGAGTACCGATTCACATTAAATCCATTGGTGACAAATTTCAGTACCGAAGAGTGCTTCTGGGTAAAACTGCCCGGTTTAGGCAAGAAGCAGAGGTGCTGCGAAGCACCCCAAAGCCTGTAAGCCAGCCATGGAGCTCTGAGGCCGCTAACAGAGCTCTGTGGAGCCACCGATTTCATCTTCAAACAGGAGGCGGAGCACTAATCTGCCACAATAGTTTCTGGTCTATTTTCTTTTCTATTTCATTTTAGCAATAACCCCCCCCCCCCCCCCACACACACACACACACACACACTAGCAGACAGAGGCAGAAGATTAGTTCTATGTGTGATAGGAAAGAGAGCTGGAGTGGAATTGATTTTCAGTCTCCTACATCAACCACGCACCTTGCTCACAAATTAAACTGTCAGATTCAGATGAAGAGCTGTTGCTAAAAAATATCACTTCCAGCATGCAATTGGCAGAAATTATAGCCACCAAGATCGGCAGTAATTATAAAACATTCAATACCTAGAAATGGGACGACTGCCCATCCGCAGACCCTTCTAAGGTGAATGTGATGATTATGATATGTAAAACAACTGCTGTATTTGTACTTCACCCATATGACATAGCATTTAAAAGCTATACTCCTCCCGGTACCATTAATGCCGACCATTTCAAGATAGAACCACCACAGCAGGCTCCATAAACACTTGTCTGTCAAAAAACAAACTCTATGAAGCATTATTATAATCCACAGATCCATAATATCCAGACCAAATCACAGCGCACACAGCCAGACAACCTCACTCTAGTGAAATATTTGTCAAAACCCACTTTTACATCCATAGATATCCACAAACTGCCATGGCATCATTTCAAATTTTCATATTTCTCCACATATCATCCATAATTTCTCCCTTTCTACATATAAACAAACCAAATAGCATATCTCAAAATGGAGGCGAGCTCCTGGCCTTTACACTGA